ATCATCGGCCAAAAAAAAAAAAAAAAAAAAAAACAACCCGCCCAAACCCAAACCGAAACCGGGAATTATCTAATGCTGGTTCGAAAGTGTGAAACGCCGGAGTCTTGCATTATTCCTGTCTGTCTCGTTCGCTGCCTTCAAACTCCTCAATTTCTCCTTCCTCTCCTGTTTTCCCGATCCTCCTCCCTCAGTAGTGTTAATTCGTGTTTTCCGTCTTTTGAATTTGGCTTCCTTTTGCATCTTGGAGAGGTTTTGTTTCTTTCCCTGCGGCTTCAGACCTCATACTTCCGCCAATTGATTTCATTCTTCTACGGTTGCTTAGAGCCCTTGCCGTTCCCGCTGCCTTCCCCCCTCGCCTAATACTCCAGCTTGTTTGCTTGCTTACTTGCTTACTTGCTATTCTCTTCTTCTGAATCTTTTTAAAGTCGCCCCATGATTCTCCCAAATCACAATCGCACTGTGGAGAGGCTATCTTGGAAATAGAAGGAGGGGCTTACAACACAATTACTTTGTCGCAGGACGTCCAAGCGACCATCTTGGACCGATTGGAAACGGTGCGCCGTGGTAGCTCCCTTCGTCAACGCCTTTGTCAGGAACAAACAAGCAACCGTTGCCGGTTCTAACACCTCCCCCTCCGGCCGCTCCCTGCTAAGCAACGTCGGTTTCGTCCGACAGACACTCCTTCAACCCATTCTAGAGCCTGGCGCCATTTGCTCGTTGTGCGGACGCTCGCTCGCACCACTACTATTTCTCTCAGTTCCAGACCAATTGAGGTTTTGCTGGCAAAAAAAGAGGCGTCGTGAAGCGGGCATTCGCTTCTTCCGTCTCAATTCCTATTCTCTGTATTTCTAGCTGACTTGCGCTCGAAACGACCGTTCACGACTCACTTATAACGATGGCATTCCTCTTTAAATCGAAGAAACACCAGCAGGGTTCTGGGCTACCTCCGGCGACCAGAGGTAACCATAGTTCCGAAGGAACTCCCGCAAACCCACCTGCGACTGCACCCACCGCGCAGAAGGAACGAGATTCGGCTCATTCGCAGACCCCGACTCCTAGCAGCAGCTATAATAATTCCCTGAACTCGCTGAACGGCACCAACAGCCCGGACCATCCGCGCTTGCGACAGAGGGCCGAGTCCGAGTCGCAGGTTAGTCTTCCAAGCCTCCCTTGAGATATGCTCCATTTCTCGTGCACTCGTCAAGCGGCAATATGAGCGCCTCCCTTCGAGGATCTCATGGCTAATTTACGTTTGGTACACGATCACAGGGTCCACGACCGCAGCAACCTCCGCCGACACACAGTAACAACACCTCCCCGAACAATAGCCCCGGTGCATCGCTCTATCCCTGGTCCCAAAGGCGACTCAATTTCTCGAATGCTCAAAATATCCCATTCCCGCGATATGGAGCAGCGATCAACGCGGTGGCGTCAAAAGAAGGTGACATCTACATGATGGGCGGCTTAATAGACGGGTCAACTGTGAAGGGGGATCTCTGGATGATGGAAAGTAGTGGGGGAACTTTGTCTTGTTTTCCCATTGCTACCGTCTCCGAAGGGCCGGGGCCCCGCGTCGGCCACGCGAGCTTGTTGGTTGGCAACGCTTTCATCGTGTTCGGTGGTGACACCAAGGTAGACGAGAGCGACACCTTGGATGATACCCTCTATCTACTGAATACTTGTATGTTCTGCCCTCATTAGCCCCCGATGTCAGTTTCAGGAAACGTGCAGGTCTGACAAATCCAGCCTCCCGCCAATGGTCCAGATCCATCCCTCCTGGGCCTCGGCCCGCCGGACGTTACGGCCATACACTCAACATCCTAGGATCTAAACTCTATGTCTTTGGTGGTCAGGTCGAGGGTTTCTTTTTCAACGACTTGGCTGCGTTCGATCTCAATCAACTCCAGAACCCGGGGAACAAGTGGGAGTTCTTGATTCGAAACAGCCACGAAGGCGGACCACCTCCGGGACAGATCCCTCCCGCTAGAACTAATCATACGATCGTCAGCTTCAACGACCGCCTCTACTTGTATGGTACCCATCTTCCTGAGTGTCATGAGTGGTATCACTACGGATATTGTACGTGTATATGCTAATATTGAGCTAGATTTGGAGGAACAAACGGTGTGCAATGGTTCAATGATGTGTGGTGCTATGACCCACGTGTCAATGCTTGGAGTCAATTGGATTGCGTCGGATTCATTCCGACACCTCGTGAGGGACATGCTGCAGCTATTGTGAACGACGTGATGTATATCTTCGGAGGCCGAACGGACGAAGGTATTGATCTGGGCGATCTCGCGGCTTTTCGCATCACGACACGACGATGGTATTCCTTCCAGAACATGGGTCCCGCGCCGTCTCCTAGATCCGGTCATAGTATGACAGCATTTGGGAAACAGATTATTGTCTTGGCTGGCGAGCCAAGCTCGGCACCACGCGACCCAATCGAACTTAGCATGGCATACGTCCTTGATACTGCCAAGATCCGTTACCCGGCCGAGAACCAAGGTGGGGAGAGGGCACCAATCCAGACGATGCGAAAGATGAGCGGAGACCGCTCCGCTCAGCCGACTGGGCGGTCTTCTCGTGAAGCACAACATCAGCACCCCGAACAGCAACGGCGAGGACCAGGGGCACAGCCGAGGGAGAACGTGGTGACGAGTCCGACAGGCAGACCGGCAGACATCGGACCTAACTCAGGACCTGGATCCCGGCTGCCTAGAGCATCTATAGCCCAGGCACCACCATCAGGGCCACCTCCCCCGGGGCAAGCTCCCACCCCCGGGCCGAGGGGCAATGGCCCTCAGCATGTCATCAACCCCCGAAGCAAAACTCCTCCTAAGAATGAGCGTGCTTATGCAGGCCCTCCAGTGGATACGGTTCGCGCCGTGGCACCCGAAACGGACAGGGAATCACCAGCTGCTAGAGACTCATTGAAAGACTCCAAGCCGGTCCAAGACTCAACCACTCCGCCATCGAGTCAACGTACGCCTATTCAACAACAATCCAGGATGTCTGCCAAGGCCATGGAGGCCGGTGAGGCTGCCCCATTAATCAGTGCACCGGCTCGGCAACGGTCCTTACGACACAACCGGCAGCGCGGCTCCATGGACAGCGCTGATGAGTCCGTTCTAGGTCGTAATGCCAGCATTGACGGCTCAATAGAGTCTCGCAACTATCGTAATTCTAGGTCCGGAGACGAGCCGCGGTCTCCGCGGTTGACTGCTCATCAAGAGGCACTGATCAAGGAACTAGAAGCAGTGAAGAATCGCAACGCCTGGTATGCTTCTGAGCTTGCCCTAGCCAAGAAGGCCGGGTACACGCCGAACTCAGCGAATAGTCCCGTGATGGACGAGCGTGCCGCGGACGCATTGACGGACGAGGATCGCCCTTTGATCGAAGCCTTTCTTGCCATGAGAGCAGAGCTTGCCAAGATGCAAGCCACCGTGGATCGTCAGGCAGCTATTGCGTCAAAAAGGGTTGCCGAGGTTGAACACCAGCGTGATGTCGCTGTAAATGAAGCGGCTTACTCCCGTGCCAAGTTGGCAGCTCACGGCGGTAGTCAAAGAGGTACACCGCAGCCTGATGGACCCGCCCAGGACTCGGATGAAGCCATTTCGGAACGAAGCACGGAAATCAGCAGAAGACTAGCTTTGGCACTTGCCTCTCAGAACGACCTCAAGTCGAAGCTCGAAATGATGACGACCGAGTACGAACAGGAAAAGCGGGCTAGAGAATTGGCCGAAGAGACTTGTGAGGCGACGAGACGGAGACTAGCGGAACTTGAAATGAACAATAGCAAATTGGAAGCCGAAAGTCTTAGAGCCGAGCTTCATCAGGCCGAGGCATCTGTCAGGGAAGAGTCGATGCTGCGTTCTGAAGCCGAGTCCGCTGTGAAACAATTGACCCTCGATAAGGAAGAATTGACGCAGAAGCTAGAAGAGTCTACGTCCCGACTGAGAGACTACGGCAATAATCTCGGCAGTCTTCGAGAAGCGGTGACCGCTTCTTCTGACAAATCCGCTCTCCTCGAACGACAACTGGATGACGAGCGCGAGCGTCGGGAGGGACTAGAGAGAAAGCTTCTTCAGTTGAGGTCGGAGCACGAAGAGCGAACTGCGGAACTCGAAAATGCTACTCGTCGCCTGAGAAACGCGGAAGAGCTCATCGAGATCCACTCCAAGGAAGCAGAGACGCACAAGAACGCATTCCTGTCCGGACTCGATCGCGCCTCGTCCTTTGACTCGGATACCACTCTTCGCTCTCTCTCCGACCAGCGTGTATCCGTCTTGGAAGCTCAGGTTGAGAGAGCCAACGAGTTGGCCAAGACCAGCCAAGCAGCTGCGAATGAGGCGGCCGAAAAGCTTCGTCGCGCAGAGGAGCGGATCGCTGGGTTGGAGGCATACCAGGAGCAGGCTAGCCGGGAAGGCCTACAACTTCGCAGGCAACTTCAGGCCGCCATGAAAGAAAGCCAAACTCATGCCGCTGACAATCGTGAGCTGAAAGCGCAGTTGGAGAACCACCATCGCGAAGCGGGAGCGTTAGCTGTGCAACATGCTGCCCTCAAAGACCTTCTTGGTGAGCGGGGCGTTTCATACTCTGATAGCCGTCGCTCGCCTCACCTCGAGTCCCCTGGGTCTCGCTTCGGCACACCGGAGGCAGGTCGACTCCGCGAGTTGGAACAGCAGCTTTCTGCTAGCATCAAAGCTCACGAAGAATTGAAGTCGTCTTTCGAGTCTCGTGAACAAGAGGCCGACCGCACGTACAGAGAAAAGCTGGAGCAGCTTGAGAACGATTATCAGTCTGCTGTACATTATGTCAAGGGCACTGAGAAGATGCTAAAGCGCATGAAAGACGAACTGGCCAGGTACAAGTCTCAAAATGCTAAGCTTCAGTCCGACTTGGACGAGGCACAGTCCGCCCTGGCGGAAGCCTCAAATGGGTTGTCGGAAGCCCCAGCTGACTGGGAGGCCGAACGTTCCAGGCTTGAGGGGTCTATCTCGGACCTTGAGCAGCAATCATCAGCCTCAATCGCCGCTCTGGAAGAGCAGGTCGCAAGGCTCAGGGACGATCTTGCTGCGCTCGAGGCTGACAAGACTAAATCTCAATCCGAGCTCGAGCACGTGCAACAAGAGCTCGCGGCAGCTGCTGAGCGGAGTCGCGCGGAGTTGGAGCAACTTAAGGCTGAGAACGCCTTACTCGAGAATCGGGCCTCTGATGCCGAGCAGAAAGTGACCATGCTTCTCGACCAGGTCGAGGCGTCTGTCGGACAATATCGTCGCCAATCGCAGCCGGTGCAGATGAATGGCATTTCTCGCACCCATAGCAACGCCTCAAGCAACACCATTGGTGCTGCAAGCCGTCGGTCCCGGGCCGATAGCACTGTGTCTCAAGATGATGCCTTCCCAGACAATCGTAATTCAATGGCTTTGGATTCGTTAGCGAATGAATTGGAAGCTCTGCGCAGCCACTGGGAGAGCACCAATCGCAACTATCGGCTAAGCACGCAGTCCGATTTTGATCGAACACCAACGAAAGAGACGGGGCTGAGTGACAGCCTGGCTGAATGGAGACGACGATTAGACGAAGACGAAGCCAGAGCAAGCTCTCCCGAAAAGGTCCAACCCCGAAACGCAGCAGCACATCACGCCACAGCGAACATGATCTGAGGGGGCAGGATGACATCACTTGCTTTCCGCCTGTCGAAAGATATGATGCGATTCGGCATGATCGTTCAGCGAATACATTGCTGAGTATAGTAATTGGTCACCGCAGTTGGTTAGATGATCACTTGGGCGTATACCATCTTTTGTGATGAGTCTCCGTGGTCCGGCTGACATTGAGCTGCATGGAGAGGCCCCAGGAAGCACCTCCAGCTCATTCAGTCATCCCGTTGATATCCTTTTGCCTTGATCACCTACCCTTTCTCCCTTTCGTACATGTTCACATTTTCTTAACCCTCGTTCATGTTTCCGTTTATACCCCTTCCTATTCTAGTTCCATACTTGGACTGTACTATTACCTCTTGATAAGTTTTTAACGAAGCCTCTGTCCGATATGTATGAAAAAGCTCTGTAGTCTAGACTCCATGCCAACGTGGTGTTCTTCGTAGCAGACATCCAAAGACTATCGAATGCTGTTTTAGCTCTTATGCTGGTCACGCGGTTGGTCGTTTGTGAATCCATTGGGCACGCCCCCTGTTATACTTGGTAACTATTTCAAGAAAATCAGTGAATGGAATCCCCAAAACCATGGGTTAGACCAGTGAAATAAACTCACTTTCAAGATTCCAACTCACAGAATTCCTCATTCCGACCATTTTGCCCTTGACCGCACCTGTCTCAGAAGAGGCTGTCGGCCCTATTGCCTTAGGCATCAGTAGCGTGCCCTGGCAGGCTTCAGGATATAATTAGTTCATTCACCCTGGTCCCCCGCCTCACAGTGCCACATGTCTTTCTCTCACTTGGTAGGCTGCAATGGTGATTGCCCTGGCGAGAGAACATTAGGGACTTGACTTTGTAGTAGCGAATGCAGTGGGCTTGGTGTCAGCTCGATATTGGTCTGCACTCGTGTACTTCGTACAGCCAGTGTATATTTTTTTATCGGCAAACAGTATCTGTGCAAGAGGTGGGCCAACAGAGCTTCAAACCATGGACGGTCACGAGATTGCAGAGTCGGCGTACAGCTCATTGAACCATCCGGTGTGCATATTTCATCAGAGGTGCTTCTTTTTTTTTTTTTTTCAAGGAAGAGCTGGTATTGTGATTCGACCATTGAACTCGATACAACATGTAGTAGTAATATTCCGAGGAGAGTGCTCGTGGTACTTAGACAGCGCATGAAATAGTAAAGATCGTGCAAATAGATGGAGACCTACTTAGATTTCACCCCACTGAAACACATGGGGTTAAGATACTTACTATACAAGTGAGTATTTTTCCAAGGCACATCACATCACTCGATAGTTTGTGTGATTAATCACAGTTTCCAAAATCCCACCCGATCGGGAATTGTGATCTATCTCTCCATACGGTACTACTACGCCAGGTGTATATCCCTGTCGTGTCCGTACCTGACACCTTTAAAGGGAAAAAGAACAAGGTGTGGGGGTGGGAAAGTGGGTTTGCTTGGGTGGTGGTGGTGGTGGTGGATGTGGATGCGGTGGTTTGTGGGCAACCCAAAAGACTCCATCCAAGAGTCCAGTCTCGATCTCTACCTACGGACTACTACTGTCAAATCGATTGATTGATTGATGGATGGATGGATCTTGATTGTCACTGATAAGGCGCGTCTTTTGGCCGGTTGTGTTTCTGCCCAAAACGAGGGTGGGTAATTTTTACTTGGTCAGTACGCGCAGTACCCGAGGTGGTCATCTGCCAAACATGCGTGTGGTCACCGCCTGGGTCTTCATTGGTGCGATTTGGCGGAAGGCTGGATGGAGAACGATGGATGCGATGATTTAATCACTGCAGTACCCATGACAGGTAATTGTATAGTACGGCGTGCTTAGCACTGCCCGGGGACTAAGTTAGTAAGTAGGAGGTATTGAAAGTTGCTACCTGAAACCTATTGGACTTAGGGAGGGGGGAGGTGAGCCATTTTTCAAGTGGATAAGGTAGACATCTTTGCCAGGTAACTACTTGGTGAAGTGTGCGGTGTGATTTACTGTACATCCCAAATACCCCCCAGGCTGGCTGGTGGTTGAATCATCGATTGATGATGAGGTATTTACCTCGAACCGTAGAGGTGAAGGTGGGAGGCGCGCGGCGACGGAAAATACTTACACACAGACGGTGATCCGCCACCACCGGCAATAAGGATTAGTATTGATGGATTGAATTAACTTCTTTGCCACCGTTCTAGAAAACTTTGGCTTCACTCATAATTACCAGTCAGATATTTGCCGTGGATTTACGAGGTAGGAATCGAAAAAGAGAACTCTCCCTGCGGACGCTAGTCAAATCACCCTAGTGTGTAGGAAGTAGACTGTACGGAGTAGAGAGGGCTGCCTGCCCAGTGCTTTTCCAGGCGTATTCCTCCCCCTGCATGACACTCAATTAAGATGCATCAGGACCTAAATCTTGCTGGTGTTCTGTCCGCCTGCCCGTTGTTTGCCTCGACAGAGGGAAGGGCAATTGTGTCATCACTACCATTAGGCTTGACAGACGGGAGATGTGCAATTCTGGTTCTTCACCGACTCTCAGCCCCCCCTTCAATTGGATTGATGGAGGGGCAGGAAATCCTGTACAGGTTACTTCCACAAGTCTCAAACACTGCCAAAGGTCAATTGCTTGTAGATGAGTTCTTGGGTAAAAGATGGGCAGCCTACGGAGTAGAACAAGCACGGCATCTATGTACTTCACTTGTACTCAAATTACCATCTCGTATAATTGCGTATTGACCCAAACGTGAGAACCCAGACCAGACTGGGGGGCCAACAGTTGCTCTCTCTCTCTCTCTCTCTCTCTCTCTTACCCGCCTCCCCCTCCTCCCTCCCTCCCTCCCGCTACCCTCAACTGACTGACTTTCATTTTCCTCCTCTCCTCCTTCCTCTTCACCTCCTCTTTCCTCCTCCTCTTCCTCTTCTCTCCCACCCACCTTTCCCTCCATCAAGGCTTGGTCCTTGAATGATTAACGGGCTGATATAGCTGCTTTCCTTTCCTCCTTTTTTCTCGATCCTCGTCGTAGCGTCGTCTATCGTCTCGTTGCTCTCTTTCTTTTTCCGCTCCCATCGACACACCCGTTCCCGTGTTCTCATCACCTCACAATCCCCTTTCTTTTCCCTCTCCGCCTTTTTTCATCTGCCCGGTCGGACTCTTACACGGTCGGCTTCCCCTCAATATCCACATCACCTCCATCCCATCTTACTTCGGTAAGCTTTTTGTCTATATCTGGTAGGTCTTCATTCCTTCTCCCAAGCACTCGCTTTCTCCGTGTCACCTCCTGCGTTGTTATTGCTTCTTTGGTTGCGGGTGGGTGGCTGTAATCAGCCTCGCCCCCACACCACTTGCTTGCTTTGGGGCTATCCTATTCACCAGCTAAGCGCCCACCTGCATGTTCTCTCTGATCGATATCCTTCTGCAAGTTGTTTCTTTTTTTTTTCATTCTTACCTACTCAATCCCATGTCATGTCCTGGTTGACTACCTTATCAAACGCCCTCGTCTGTCTTTTGTCTTGATAAGTCTGTGGCTAACAGCTGGATTTTCCTCGCACAGTTCGTCCAGAAACTGATCACAGCCGGTTGCTGTGACTACTCTCGAAGAAATGACGACTATGGTGAGTGATATCTGCACATGTCCGTATGATGAGGCAATAGCTTATGACATATCCAGGATTTGCGTGTCGGTAACAAGTACCGCATCGGCCGTAAGATTGGAAGCGGTAGTTTCGGTGATATCTACCTTGGTAAGTGATCTTTGACTCGGAGACGGCTTCCTGGATTGCCTGGACTGACTGTACCCTAGGAACCAACATCATCTCCGGTGAGGAGATTGCTATCAAGCTCGAAAGCGTCAAGGCCAAGCACCCTCAGCTCGAATACGAGGCCCGTGTCTACAAGTCCCTGGCCGGTGGTGTCGGTATTCCGTTCGTGCGTTGGTTCGGTACCGAATGTGACTACAATGCTATGGTCATCGATCTGCTCGGTCCCAGTTTGGAGGACCTATTCAACTTTTGCAACCGCAAGTTCTCGCTGAAGACTGTGCTCCTTCTCGCCGATCAGCTTATCTCTCGTATCGAATACATCCACGCCAAGTCTTTCATCCACCGTGATATCAAGCCCGACAACTTCCTGATGGGTATCGGAAAACGTGGCAACCAGGTCAATGTGATTGATTTCGGTTTGGCCAAGAAGTACCGCGACCCCAAGACTCACTTCCACATTCCCTACCGTGAGAACAAGAACCTCACTGGAACTGCTCGTTACGCCAGTATCAACACCCACTTGGGTGTCGAGCAATCTCGCCGTGATGACATGGAGTCTCTCGGCTATGTCATGCTTTACTTCTGCCGTGGTACTCTTCCTTGGCAGGGTCTGAAGGCTGCTACCAAGAAGCAGAAGTACGACCGTATCATGGAGAAGAAGATGACAACGCCCACCGAGGTCCTGTGCCGTGGTTTCCCCAATGAGTTCTCCATCTACCTCAACTACACTCGTTCCCTGCGTTTCGATGACAAGCCGGACTACTCCTACCTCCGCAAGATCTTCCGCGACCTTTTCGTTCGCGAGTCCTTCCAATATGACTACGTCTTCGATTGGACCGTCTACAAATACCAGAAGAACGCCGCCATGATTGTGGACGCCGGAAAGAAGGACAAGGAGGCCGAGGACCAGCAGCGCCGTCAGGGTGTTGCCGCTGCTGCACCTATGGGTACTCCCGGTGCTGCCGCCAAGCCTGGTGCCATCTCCAGCCAGCGCCGCAAGGTCATCGAACGCGGAACTCTGGACAACACCCCGGACACCAACCGTGCTGTCGGAGGGAGTGACAGGATGTGAGTATCTGAAACCTAGGTTCCGTTGTAGGGAACCCCTTTCCTCTGCGTTTGGTGCTTTGTATATGACCCCGCACGTAGAGGTCGACTTGAGTTCTGGAATCTGACTAATCTCATAGTCTTCGGCGTTAGGCTGCGTTCTGCTTCAAGGGTTGCTGCTTCAGGTGCTTTTGCCGCCCGTAGCCGTACGAAGCAGGACGATGGGTACGGTGCTCAGTGGTACTGATCTGTGCAACCTAGCAGTGTAGCTTGACCTTTCCGCTCGGAATCCTGTTTAGCTCCCTGCATGTTGACACTTTTCTATGTCTGTTCTGAGGAGCCCAGGCTTATCGACGATACTGGTGACCTTTTGCAGCCTGCAGTCAACCTTTCGGACTTATTCGCCAGGGGGGTTCCCTTTTTCCAAATCTTTCTTTATCACTTTCCTTATTGCATTCTCTGTTAGCCCTTTACCCGTCCCAAGATCGTCTTTCGGTTCGCCGTCTCGATCCGTCACGTTTTGTTGATCGGCTCTCAGGTCTTTCTATGTCAAAAGTACCGTCCTCAAAACCAGAGGATCGACAAATTGCATAGAAGGAAGGGCCTGAATAGCAGACTGCAAACGTTTTTATTGTGGCTATTTTATGTCTCAGCTTCTCGGTCCTCAGTGATTATCTCTCCGCTCATCGTTCGGCTTGTGAACATGACACACAGTGGCCGGGAAGCTCTGACTGAAGGAGATTGCAAGCACGAAACAACCTGTTCTCAAGCGCAGCAACTGGATCCGGGACTAGCCATCATTGCTCGACAATCTTTTTCGGCCTCTCGGATTGTTCTGCCTTACAATTTTCCTTACCTCTCGAATTGCGTGCTTTCTGTCATCCGTGATTTGTTTTCGTGTTATCAGACTGTCTTAATGTTGTTTTTGACGCATCAGTGGGGACGTTGAAGTTCAGGGGTCGGCTATGGTGGCAGTGGCAGGAGACGGCTGTTATTGGTGGTCTACGCGCTTTTGTGCTATTTCTCGGTCATGCGGTGTAGGTCTTAGACTTGACGGCAGACTAGAGTCAGCATTCAGAGCTGCGGGCAGTCAGGGGGAGAGCACGCCTCGGCATATGGGTATTCGGCGACGGACAATGGTTAGGGTCGCTTCCGGGGGGGTTTTTGCGTCGCTTCACGTTGTCTCACTGATGATTTTGTTTGTTACTCTGCTTTCTATCTAAACCTCACTCAATCACATATTACGAGGCACAGTGCGAGGCGGCTACGCTGTATGATGCTGACAGAACTACTGTTCGGGCGGAAGCATGCGCAGGCTACGTGGGATAGCTCCATCCTCTCATCTGATCCTCGAATCCCACAGAATTATCATTTTGGCCGAGTTTGAAGAGTCTACTAGTCTTCTACCTAGTATCTTCGTAGGCCGGTCATCAGTACATCATGGATAAAGGTTGTAGGTACTGTAGTTCATGGCGGTGATCTGATCGAGCCAATGGCAACCGGAGATGAGATCAGCTTCCGCGCTTCTCATACGCCCCTCATTGCCTCCTCCTGATTGGCAACAATGCCTTTTGATCACTGGCATGACATTAAGTTTGTTGTCTCCATCCAGTCTAGACTGTTTTAGGTAAGGCCATCATCCACCCGCCGTCCTTCATCCTTTCCGTCCCCTCTGGTCCTCACGGACTCTCTTCTCCTCTCGAGTATTCTTGGCGTCAGCTCCTCGTTTCTTTATCAGCATTTATCAGCAACGACAACAACATTCACGAACGGTAGAATTGCAGGAGAGATGGATTACTCCTTCTATTCTACTCCCAACCCGCAGCAGCCTTATCCACTGTACAACCTGCACGGACTGCCCACTCCAAACCAGGTTCCTCGTGCTGAAGATGCCCAAGGCGCTTTTCCTCATCTTGTTCGCCGCCTTCCCTTACCATGCCCTTTTTCCTTGTAATATTATACTGACCGTGGCCCACAGGGACAACATATTTATCAGTCCTACGATCCGAGTCTACGCCTTACGGATGCTCATGGCATTGCTTCTTTTGTCGCTCCCCCGCACTCGCCGCCTGAATCATTGACCAAGCAATCCGTGTCAAGCAACGATGTTGCCCACCCACACTTTGATCGGGCTTCTCTTGAAGCCGACGAACCACCGGCCGACTTCAATCCCGGTCGCAGCAGCAGCGAAGAAAAGGATACCATGACTCCAGCACAATCTAAGCGGAAGGCACAAAATAGAGCTGCGTATGTGGCCACCCTCAAGCATGCTGGGCTTTGATATCATGCGGGGACTGCCCACTCCGATGATGTTTGAAGCATCCCTCTGACTGATCGTCGATTGATAGTCAACGAGCATTCCGCGAACGCAAAGAGCGGCATGTGCGCGAGCTGGAGGAGAAAGTCAACAATCTCGAGCAGGAATCGAACACCCTGATGGCGGACAATGAGCGACTGAAGCGCGAGCTAGCCCGGTTTACCACGGAAAATGAGATTCTCAAAGCGACCTCGGGCTCGTTCCGGTCTTCGAGCCAGCAGCACTCTATGAACTCGGAACCGACGACGACCGGACCACTGCAATATTCGCCAACCGATTTCAACCCGAACCCGAAATCCGCGAGCGGCGAGCTTCCGCCACGTCACAGAGTGACAACTTGTCAGGTAACAGGTGAGCGGTTGCTTGACGCCGGCGCTACCTGGGAGTATATCCAGTCACATGAGCTCTTCAAGCGTGGATCGCTGAATATCGCGGACGTCTATCAGCGGCTCAAGGGCGCAGCTCAGTGTGATGGAACAGGTCCAGCCTTCCGAGAGAGCGAGGTACGCAAGGCCATTGAAGAGAGTTCAGCGGCCTGCAGTGACGAGTTGATATGATATCCCTGTGGCTTTATTTCCCAGTTCCTTTTTAGCGTAGATCTGTGTGTGTGTGTGTGTGTGTGTGTGTGTGTGTTTTCTATTTTTTTTTTTTTTTGAATCGCCCTTTTCACTTTTGGCCTCTACGTCCATCAACGACTGACTTTGGGCATTTATGATGATATATGGCGTTTGCTTTGGGTATATGATGGGATGTTCGAGTGGAAATATCACTGAAATGCTCACTTTTATGAGCATTGATACGTCAATCCGCGGATTGTCATGCCAGAGACGTACCGACCTCACTTAGCCGATTTTCCTCGGCGCTAGGGGTATGTTGGGAGTATTGCAATGATACCGCTTATTTTCATTTCCGGAGGATATCGGCATATTGAGATTCAAGCTATTTTAGAGCTACTAGGAACATATGCCACCTTCCTGCTCTTCATCGTCAACTGCTCAAGTCGGCTTTTATGACTTGCGGCTGTGGCTGGGAACCTCATTTGGGGATTCCATTTCGAGTAATTTTCTTGAATACCTTGCGGAATCCTGTTACTAACGTGGCCAAATATACAATTGATGGCAAGGTGAATATTCTGTGGTGGAGACTTGAAGGACGGTGTGAAGATGGTAGGACCAAATCGCTGAAAGCCGAAAGCTTCCTGGCCTTCCGAGCCCAGCTCCGGATATGCATCTAGGTTGCTACGGTAGCCCCTCCCAACGATAGCATTGCCGCCTCCAATACTCAAAAAGATATTCGTCCGCTGCGGGCTCAAGTTCTTTTTGAGTGGTTCAGTTGATGACCATCCGGCCAGCTCGACTGATATGAATGGGCATGACACCTGATATGACAACACAGGATTATAGTACCTAATCCCAGTCGTCATCGTCATCCTGGACCATAGGTCTAATTGACTTATTTTTACTCATGGCCGGACGTTCATCGTCCGAAGAGTCCGATCGCTTCTTCAAACGTACGTCACTCTCCTTGAGAGCGCCTAGGTCAAGGAGCAATCTCTCGATATCTGGCAACAGGCGGAATGTGAGCAATGCGAGCAATATGCACCCGAATAATAGACGCTCTTACCTTCGACTGTAGTGCGCGGCCCCTTAAGTTCCCGCAAGGTGACCAGCTGCCTCTTGATCTCGGTATTTCTATAGACTAGGATAGTGGGTGTGTTGCGCTCGGGATAGCCCTCAATGCACATGTTGGCGCGGATCTCGCAGAACTTGATATCCCCGTACTTGGCCGCCAGAGTCCGCCAGAGTTCCGTCAATCGTTGCGATTCAACGTTACCGCCAGTTGAAGAGCTGAGGTGGACCAAGACAAAGCAGTCATTCGAGGCCTCTGTTACTTCGCGGGCGTAGTCGACCTTCTGGAGAGGATAGACTTGGTTGTGCACACTGGTTTGCTGCAGCGTAGAGAGCTCCGCTAATCGTTTCTGACTATTTGAGCAATCGTGCGCGTTAGTATTAGGAGACCGGTCAGTCCGCGACGGAGGACTTTCTTGACGCGGGGGTTAGGATCCGGGTTAGCTCGCGAACAGTACCGGTATTGTTCCAGGAATGCCTCATCCTCCTCGTCCTCTAGCTCGTCTAGCTCATCCAGATCCTTGTCCTCCAGTCGGTTCTCATAAGCCTTGCGCTCTGCTTCGATCAGCGCCTCCTGGATTAGTGGCTCAGGGTCCTTGGGCTTCTCGGGGATAATGCCATGCTTGCGAAGGATATCGTTCCTGCGGGGGTGGATGAGCCATGCGGTGGAAAATAGGGTGTGGTGAAAGAACTACTGACCATTCGGTATCTTCGTTGGGATTGACTTCGACTTGCATTTTCAATGGATCGTGTATGTGTCCGAACCACAAGCTGACACTATATGACTGAATTCAGCTTACATGGAGGGGGGAGGAACAGGAGGAGTGGGGGGATGCCTATCCCCAATGCCGCATGTTTGTACTGTTTGCATCCAGGGGGAGGAAGGACAGCCACACCGCCCTGTGGCTCAACCGCCCACAGAAACGCGGGAAGGCCACCTGGAGATTGTAGGTTGGCGGCCGGACTGAGGAGCTACTGCTGGCCGACTGGCTGGCTGGCTGGCTGGTTATGCTGGCTGCTACTACTGCTAAACCCCCAAAACATCCATTCATCCATCCTCCACCTCTGCCCTCGCAATTGTCCCTTGTTGCTTCGCGACTTCTCCCCGGGGACGGGCTCCACCTGCTAATTACTCCTCTTCTTACTTCTTTTTTCTTGTCGCTTCTTCCCTTCTTGGAAGGATAATGAGGGCGCCGTAGTGCTTAATCCACCGCTTGCACAACGTCCGAACCGTCATACTGAAACCCGCCCTTATTCAAAGCCACCATTGAGCGATCCCATTCCCCCCCCCCCCACCAACTATCACCACCAACGCCTACCACGGGGTTTCCCTCTTTGTTCGTCTAAAGTCTGCTCAACAGATAATCTCCTTGCTGCTGCGGCAATTCCTGCAGCACGTCAGCCATCATGAGTTACGTTAAGAAAGATGAGGACGCCGACCAGACCATGATCAAGTTGGATCGGACCTCCGTATTTCAGGATGGTGAGCTTTTCCGGTCCTCTCATACACACTTCCCTCCAGGAGTCGCAATTCAGTCGGACAAAGGTCACTAACAATGACGTCGCACTATTCGCCTTGGTACAGCCCGCCTGTTCAACTCCTCTCCGATCTCTCCTCGAACATGCCGCACTCTCCTGACCAAGATCGCGGTTCTCCTGTTCACGGGGGAACAATTCCCTACGAATGAGGCTACCACTCTTTTCTTCGGTATCTCGAAGCTGTTCCAGAACAAGGATCCCTCTCTCCGGCAAATGGTCTACCTGATCTTGAAGGAATTGGCAAACACCGCCGAGGATGTGATCATGTCCACCAGTATCATCATGAAGGACACTGCTGTCGGCAGTGATGTTCTTTACCGGGCCAATGCCATTCGTGCCTTGTGCCGCATCATTGATGTAGGCGCATACCCAAATTCCTTGAATTACGAGAAGGAAATGGCTGACCATCATCGGTTCTATATAGGCCACCACCGTGCAAGGGATCGAGCGTTTGATCAAGACCGCCATTGTTGACAAGACCCCCTCGGTTTCCTCCGCCGCCTTGGTTTCGTCCTATCATCTACTCCCGATCGCGCGTGATGTCGTCCGCAGATGGCAGAGTGAGACTCAGGAGGCCGCATCTGGCGGCAAGCAGTCGACTGGATTCCTTGGGTTCGGCGGCAGCTCCCAGTCACACGCCATCTCGCAATCCAACTTCATGACCCAGTATCATGCGATTGGACTTTTGTATCAGATGCGCTCTCACGACCGTATGGCGCTCGTCAAGATGGTGCAGCAGTACGGTGCGGCTGGTGTGGTCAAGAGCCCTGCGGCGCTTGTTCTTCTGGTGCGGTTGGCGGCCAAGTTGGCGGAGGAGGACCCTGGCTTGCGGAAGCCCATGATGCAGATGCTTGATGGCTGGCTCCGGCACAAGCACGAGATGGTGAACTTTGAAGCCGCCAAGGCCATTTGCGACATGCGTGATGTTTCCGACGCGGAAGCTTCCCAGGCCGTACACGTCCTGCAGCTGTTCCTCTCCTCGCCCCGCGCAATCACCAAGTTCGCGGCCATCCGTATCCTCCACAACTTCGCATCCTTCAAGCCCCACGTGGTCAACGTCTGCAATCCCGACATCGAGTCCCTGATCTCGAACTCGAACCGCTCCATTGCTACTTTTGCCATCACTACTCTTTTGAAGACGGGTAATGAGGCTAGCGTCGATCGTCTCATGAAACAAATCTCCGGGTTCATGGCTGATATCACCGATGAATTCAAGATCACTATCGTGGAGGCGATCCGCACACTCTGCTTGAAGTTCCCTAACAAGCAGGCCGGTATGCTGTCCTTCCTGAGCGGTATTTTGAGGGATGAGGGTGGTTACGAGTTCAAGCGCAGTGTTGTGGAGAGCATGTTCGATCTTATTAAGTTCGTCCCTGAGAGCAAGGAGGATGGTAAGCTTTCCCTTTTGTCTCTACCTTGATTCAGGCTAATCATAGACAAGCTCTTGCGCATCTGTGTGAGTTCATTGAGGACTGTGAATTTACCAAGCTCTCCGTCAGAATCCTGCACCTGATCGGTGTCGAGGGTCCTAAGACGTCGCACCCTACCAAGTACATTCGTTATATCTACAACCGTGTCGTTTTGGAGAATGCCATCGTCCGGGCTGCTGCTGTGACTGCTCTGGCCAAGTTTGGCGTTGGCCAGAAGGATCCTGAAGTCAAATCGAGTGTTTCCGTTCTTCTCACCCGCTGTCTGGATGATGTCGATGACGAAGTGCGTGACCGCGCCGCTCTTAACTTGCGTCTGATGAATGAAGAAGATGAGAAGGCTTCCCAATTCATCAGCAATGGTAAGCAACTGCATCATCCACAGTCTTGAATATGTGCTAACTTTTGCAGAATCGATGTACTCCCTGTCGACGTTTGAGCATCAACTCGTGATGTATGTGACGTCTACCGACAAGCAAACCTTTGCTGCAGCCTTTGACGTCTCCACGATTCCGATTGTGACACAGGAGCAGGCATTGGCGGAAGAGCGGACCAAGAAGCTCACCAGTGCTACTCCCACGCTCAAGGCGCCGACCACTGGGCCTCCGAAAAGCAAGGCCAACGGCGTGGCGGAGGCTGCTACCGTGGCTGTCACGCAGAAATACGCAGAGCAGCTCATGCAAATCCCCGAACTCAAGGAATACGGCACGTTGCTTAAGTCCTCTGCTCCTGTTGAACTGACGGAAAGCGAGACTGAATACGTCGTCACCGCCGTCAAGCATGTTTTCAAGGAGCACATTGTTCTGCAGTACGATATCAAGAACACTCTCCCCGACACTGTTTTGGAGGATGTGACCGTGGTCACAGTTCCAGAAGAGGAGGACATTTTGGAAGAGGAGTTTATTGTTCCTGCCCCCAAGCTCGCTACCAACGAGCCTGGTATCGTCTATGTCACGTTCAAGAAGCTTGCTGGCGAGCACAGTGTTCCGGTGACTTCATTCACCAACACCCTCAAGTTCACTAGCAAGGAGATCGACCCCACTACTGGTGAGCCAGAGGATTCCGGATACGAGGACGAATATCAGGTCGAGGACTTGGACCTTACTGGCAGCGACTATGTCATTCCTACTTTCGCGGGCAGCTTCGACCACGTATGGGAGCAGACGGGTGCCAACGGGGAGGAAATCAGTGAGACTCTTCAGCTCAGCAACATGAAGGGTATTGCTGGTAAGTACATCTTTTTACCAGTCTACCTAAATCCAACCAGATGCTAACCACAGAACAGATGCTACGGAACAGCTGATCTCGACACTCTCGTTGCAGCCTTTGGAGGGCAGCGATGTAGCACTCAGCAACAGCACGCATACCCTGAAGCTGTTCGGCAAGACCGTGACCGGAGGCCGGGTGGCTGCATTGATCAAGATGGCTTTCTCCAGCAAGACTGGCGTGACGACCAAGATCACCGTTCGGGCAGAGGAGGAGGGCGTTGCCCCTGCTGTGATTGCGTCCGTTACTTAGATGCCTTGTGGAACCGATCGTGTGTGTAAATGTTTTTGTAATGGAGGCATGTTTCTGAAAAGGCGCGCATTCAATTGGCGACGAGTCCTGCATTATGAGATCTTGAGGTTCTTTTTTTTTTGTTTCTCATTCCCTTTACACTTTCAATTTTTCTCCAAACGTTTGTTATTTCTCCTCAAACATTCTACTTATTTTTCCTAACCGACACCTCAATTCGTCGTCTTCTTCCAATTTTGGTGTCGAGACTTAGATGCATTGTCGAGTAGGTAGGCGTACTGAGTGCGTCAAAAATCTGGACTGGACACTATTCTTGATTCATGTTGTTCCTCTTCTCCGACCACCATTTGGTCGACCTTTCTATCATTTTCTACTAGTTCGAGGCCTGGGTTTCTTACTTGCCAAATTGGGACAGTTTGCTTATGAAATCCTGATGTGTCAGGTCGATAGTGATGATCTATGCTGAAGACTCGAATCAGTAATCCTACTTATATTATGCAAATTGCTACCTGGGGCGAGTGAAGCTACCACCTAGTACTGTTAGTTTAGAACCATTCTAACGGACTTCCTGAAAATAGGAACTGGTGTGGGGAGTACAATCTGTAAATAATGTCTTTATTTTTAAAATCCGAATTAGGCAATTTGATGGCTGAGTGTGGCTAAATTCCAAGAGAATGGGTAAATATATATATCTGTCCACAGGAACGCTGGATTTTGTGTCATAACAACTTCAATGAACCAAAAAAAAAAAGAAGGAAAACAAGGAAAAAGATATACAGAGAATAGTACCAAGTACGGGTTTGTATGAGTGGTCTGATGAATAGAGATGGATGTTGAATGTTGGATGTAGGATCTTTTCTGCTATGTATGTCATGACTTTTCTTGGTCTCAGGCGGGTAAATATGCTTGTTTGGTAGGTTGTAGAGCGAGACGTAGGGTATCTGTATTTACTTTTTGAGGTTTTGAGAGATATATGAGGCCGTTTGTGCGGTTTATATATATATATATATGTGTGTGTGTGTGTGTGTGTGTGTGTGTGTGCATTTATTGGACAAATTTCGGCGTGATGCGAGCTTTCACAACCCTGCCAGCAGCTGAACAACGATTGCGGTCAGGGTAACTGTCTCGTGAATGTGATCCGGGTTTGATCCTATGTTTGTGGTTGTCTTTTGCTCATAGGTAGTAGACGCCGACATCGTCATCGACGTCATCTTCGTCCTCGTCATCAACAGAGGCAGGCGGCGACGGCATGCCTGCAGCTCCGGCCTGGTCAACTGGCGGCTGCTGCTGCTGCTTGCCTTGTTTCTTCTTCGAGAACCGACTCCGCAACACCGAATCGATCTCCTCCACCTCCCCGCCTTTCAACTCCCAAGCCTCGGAAATGCCCACGGAACGTACATTCGCCAGCCCGTTCTGCAGCGCGTGCACGAGCGTCGGGGGCGTGAAGTACATCAGACTCGCGGCGGTGTCCGAGCAGGGTTGATCGATTTCCAGCGTACGCAGGGCCAAGGGCTGGCGGAGGAGCTGCATGCGCTCGTCGAGGTTCTCAAAGAAGGTTAAATCGATGGTGTCACCGGGGACGCTGAGGTAGTCGAGGTTCGGCATAGTGAGGGGCAATTGGTTGACGAAGGTGAGGGAGAGATGGTTGGAGGGGTCGATCTTGAGGCGCTTGAGAGTGGTGTGGAGGGAGGGGTTTTCGAGGAGGATGGTGGTCAGCGGGGAGGAGTCGAGGTTCTTGCAGTTTTTCAGGATGAGGCTGGTGAGGGCGGGTGGCCAGGCGAAGTAGCGCGCTAGGAGCGGATTGGTGCTAAAGTCACCTGTAACTTGCAGGTTTTGTAGGCGAGGAGGCCAGGGGATTGTGGAGGGGGATGCTGATGATGATAATAGTGTGGAGGGAGGAGGAGGGATGAGGTTGTTGGTTCGGGGGAGGCGGAGGGTTGTGAGTTTCGAGAGGTTGCTTAGGGAGCGCTTGAATTCGAGGAAGGGAAAGGGCTCTGCTACGAGAGAGAGATCGAGACTCTGCAGTTTCGTGCATTTGGAGAGGGCAGGGAGGCAGTTGATTCTGTTTGCGACGAGGCAAGAGGGTTAGTATGGAAGTATAGAACGGTCAGATTGATGCGGAGGATAGGATAGCGTACGCAAAGGATACACGCGGTGCAGAAAAGACCACTAGATTTTCTTTGACCTTTCCCAGTAATCTGGCTGTCAGGCTGGGAGAACTGTGATGCACGAGGCCACTCAGATCTAATCGGCGCACATATGACCCAAGCTTCAGCTTGTTTTTGCGCGCAACATGGAGTGGAGGGCTGATGGTGGCCGCGAACTGGGTGAAAGAAGACCCAAAGCGCAAAATCGGCCTTTCGTAGAGATGAGGAGTGGCAGCAGAATACCACTGTGTTGAAACGAGGCAGCACGCATATAAAGTTGCTTGTCGACGATCTGGTTTATCTGAAGTGTTGGAGACATAGGACATAATCTGCATGACTATCTCCGTGGGGAGATAGATTTCATTAGAGGCATCGGCAGTCATCATGGGGTAACAAATAATCTTTCCATAGTCCACTTTATGTATCTATGCTTCGAAATGGAATAAAAGAGATGTAGAATTGAATACTAAGTTATTCTTGATGCGATGGTGAAGAGACAGAGCGGGAATTGCGGAGGAGAGGAATTTGATGATATCATGCGAGCGATAAGGGAATCTCCCGCATTCTCCGCCTTCGTCCTCCGCCGCCCTCCACTGCTCCTCCGGTCCTTCTCCGCGTCATAACAACAAACAACAATCAGAGCAATTGGCGTTTCCATTTTCCGTCATTCTCTTCATCAATTGCTACATACTTGACAGAATTAACATAATCAGCATGCAGTCGGGCTCCCTCTGGCGATCATTTGCGCTACTCCAGCGTGCTTCTGCCCGGTCATGCATCACTGCAGGCTCCGGGCGTCGGGCCATCCAGACAGCCAGCTCACAATCAAAGATCCCCGACTTTGCCTTCGCATTTGAGTAAGTCAGGGATAGTTGAATATTGGGCTTCATTGGCTAACCTATACTAGCATCGATGGCGTTCTCCTCCGGTCCTCCAAGCCCATCCCAGGGGCAGCTGAGTCATTGGCGCTATTACAAGAGCAAAACATCCCTTTCCTTCTTCTGACCAACGGCGGCGGGAAGCACGAGACGGAGAGAGTAGCCGAGATTAGCGAGAAACTCAATGTCCCACTGGATGCAGAATTGATCGTTCAGAGTCATTCACCCTTCGCAGAGCTGGTGCACGGAACGGAGGGCCCGGGCCCATTGGAGAACAAATGCGTCTTGGTAGTAGGAGGAGAAGGCGATCGCTGTCGCCAAGTGGCACACCAGTATGGCTTCAAGAATGTGGTGACTCCCGGGGATATCTATATGGCGAACCCGTCCGTTTGGCCCTTTCGGTCGTTCAAGGACTACTACGAGAAGATCTCCAAGCCATTGCCGAATCCGAAAGATCCGAGCGACCCTTCAAGGGGCCTGAAAATTGATGCGATCTTTGTCTTTAATGACCCACGCGACTGGGCTTTGGACGCTCAGATCATTACCGATATCTTGCTCTCATCGCAAGGTGTCATTGGCACGCTGTCGGAGAAGAACGGACGGACTGATCTTCCTAACCACGGGTACCTGCAGGACGGCCAGCCGCACCTGTACTTCTCGAATCCTGACCTCTGGTGGGCTGCGAGCTACCATCTGCCTCGTCTCGGCCAGGGCGGATTCCGAGAGGCGCTAGAGGGCATCTGGACCGCAGTGACCGGAGGTCCTGACAAGGGTGTGAAGCTCAAGAAGACTGTCATTGGCAAGCCGTACCAAGGGACATACGAATTTGCAGAGCGTCAGTTGCTGCGCAACCGCGAGAGGATGTTCGGCGCCAACGTTCAGCCACCCTTGAGAAATGTCTACATGATCGGTGACAATCCCGAGTCGGACATCTGCGGTGCCAACAGCTACCGCAGTGGACATGGTAGCAAGTGGCACTCCATTCTCGTGAGGACTGGTGTCTACAGTGGAGGCGAGCCTACGTGGACCCCTACGACCATCGTCGACAACGTTCAGAGAGCCGTTGAATGGGGAATCAAGACCTCTCAGTGGCGAGCGTGAGGGGATGGTGACTGGCTGAGGGTTCAATTATAATCGATTATATTTAGCGATCTGCATCATATACTATGTGCCTAGAGACGACTATACTAGATACTGACATTTCTGACCATCAACCCACGTGCTGGACACTCGAATAGCTTACAAAATGCATACCCGATAATTTAAACCTGCCAAGATAAGGTATTCAGTATAACTTTGAAGGAGTATAGGAATAGCTGAATTACGAGGCTGATTTCCAACGGGTTGTAGATGACTAGTTGGTAAACCAATTGACATGAAGTTATGCAAGGCTCATTAATGCTATATAAGCAATGCGCATAATGATTGCATAGTTATAGCAACATCAGGTGATCGCCCCTCCTAGGGTTTAGGGCAGCGGGGGAGTCGGGCGGCGGGGTGACTCAAAAGAGAAAGTTGGAGCTCTGCTCTTATCTGCTTCTATCGCTTTGTACCTCTTTTCCTCCTCATCTCACCCTAATCGCGCCCATACCCTTCACCATGGCCGACTCCGAATTGCCCACCCGTCCCAAGCCCGAAGAGACCCCCGCCGCTGCGGACGCCCCTGCGGAGGGCGCGGAGCCCACCAAGAGCGCCAGCAAGAGCGCCGCTAAGAAGGCCGCAAAGGAGAAGGCGAAAGCTGAGAAGGCCGCTGCTCGCGCTGCCCAGGAGAAGGCCCAGGCTGCCGCTGCCGAAGCCAACGACACTGCCAAGCACCTGTACGGCAAGCTCCCCGAGTCCGAAGATGCCCTTCCCGCGACGAGATTCCCCGAGATCACCGATGAGCACTATGAGAAGGAGATCACGGTGGTTGCCCGTGTGGACAACGCTCGTGTGCAGAGCGCCAAGCTGGCTTTCCTGATGCTGAGACAGCAGGGTCAGAAGCTGCAGGCCGTTATTGCGCTCACGGAGCCCATCTCCAGGCAAATGATCAAGTTCACTGGTGGTCTCAACGTCAACTCTATCGTCCAGGTGACCGGTACTGTTAAGAAGCCCGCTGTTCCCATTTCCTCCGCTACCCTGAGCAACCACGAGATTCATATCAGCAAGGTCTACGTCATCTCCGAGGCCGCCCAGATGCTTCCCATGCAGGTCAAGGATGCTGAGAGACCGCCCCCGGAGACGACTGAAGAAGGACCCCAGGTTGATGCGGAGGGCGCTCCCATTGTTACGCTGAAGACTCGTCTTGACAACCGTGTTCTCGACCTCCAAACTGAAACCAGCCAGGCTATCACCTGGATCTCCAGTGGTGTGGCGCAATTGTTCACTGAGTACATGATCAAGAGCGGCTCGCGGTGGATCTTCACTCCCAAGTTGGTCGGTGCCGCCACCGAGGGTGGTAGCAATGTCTTCGAGGTCAAGTACTTCAAGAGAAACGCATACCTCGCTCAGAGCCCTCAATTGTACAAGCAAATGTGTATTGCCGGTGATATGGAGAGCGTCTTCGAGGTCGCTCCCGTTTTCCGTGCTGAAGACAGCAACACTCACAGACACTTGACCGAGGTACTTTCATCATCTTTGTCATCGCTGATTCCCGCTAATCTTCCGTTTAGTTCACCGGTCTCGATTTCGAAAAGACTTTCCGCTCTCACTACCACGAGGTCTTGGAATTCGCCGAGAACCTCCTTGTCTTCATCCTTACCGAGATCAAGGAGCGCTACAAGGATCAGATCGCCGTCATCCAGAAGTCCTACCCCAAGGCTGGCGACTTCAAGCTGCCCAAGGATGGCAAGGCTCTGCGTCTCAACTACATGGACGGTGTTGCTCTGTTGAAGGAGGCTGGTGTCGACGTTTCCGAGCAGGAGCGATTCGAGAACGACTTCACCACGGCGATGGAGAAGCAGCTGGGCCAAATCATCCGTGACAAGTATGACACCGATTTCTACGTGCTGGACAAGTTCCCCATGGCTGTCCGTCCATTCTACACCAAGGCCTGCCCGCAGGATCCCACTTTCTCCAACTCGTACGACTTCTTCATGCGTGGTGAGGAGATCATGTCTGGTGCTCAGCGTATCAACGACATCAAGGAGCTGGAGGAGTCGATGGTCGCTAAGGGTCTTGACCCTAAGTCGGAGGGCTTCGAGGACTACCTCGCTGCTTTCCGCCAGGGATGTCCTCCCCACGCCGGTGGTGGTCTGGGCCTGAATCGTATCGTCATGTTCTTCCTGGGCTTGCCTAACGTCCGGTTGACTTCGCTGTTCCCCCGTGATCCCCAGCGTCTGCGCCCTTGAGCACAGAGCTAGGAATAATTAGCCTTAGACCTGGACAAATTCTGGATAAACAATGTAATGGAGTGACGAGACTATTCATAATTGAGCGATCTTGTATTTCTGTAAAGATCCGAAGTAGGAAAGGAGCGGAGCGCATATCGATGAGCGGAGCCGAGGAAAATCTTCGGGTGGCCCAAGCTCCCTCTCCGGCGGAATCTTATCATCAGCCTGCATTCCTGCCTCCCTCTCGATTCCGCCCTCCATCAACAACACCCAGCATGCCCGATAAGCGCAAACCCTCCATGTCAACATCGGGCGCATCGCCTTACGCTAAGAGATCCCGCGCCTCGTACGCCGACGAAGATGATGAAGAGACACCGCAGACGGTAACACCGTACGAGCGCCCGCGCAACCATCCGATATACGGGCAAAAGAGCGCCTTCCCGGGACTCGACAGTGCAGGAGATGACGAGCTCTTCTATGGACCGGCGGAAGATGGACTGGAATATCTACGGATGGTCCGGTAAGTTGACGCGTGCTTGATCGACCTACCAAACTCGAAGACCTCCTGACTGACATTTATCATGTAGGTCCGAAGCCAACTCCCTCCCATTCCTCTTCAATGCGCCACCAACCACAACCCCAACCGCTGTAGAGGCCACCAGTTCGAATGACACAACCACTCAAACGAAACCAGCACCTAACCAACCGACCAACACAACAGCAACCACAATAATAACAAAAATTACCGCAACTACGTCTTCCCCTCCCCTCCGCGAGGGCGTCTTCCAGGACGGTGTCTACTTCGTCCCCACAACCATTACTGCCAACAAGGACAGCAAAACCCCCAGCGGGATACCCGGCTCACCATCCCAAAACCCATCGCCGGAAATCCTCCCCGCCCAATCGACATACTACACTCTCCTCCACCACCGCTTTCTCCTTCTCCGCTCGATCCTCAAATGCACCCCTCCTTCTGAAGCTATCGCCGCGCTAGACAATGACCACCCTATCTCACTCCCGCGGCACTCACGGAACGCGCGCCGCGAGTGGCGTCGGTTGCTGTTGGCGGTAGATCCGCAGACGGTGCAGCTGGCGTGTATGGACATGGAGAGCGTGCTTGGCGTGCTGGGGATCATGGCGCGGGTGATGTCGGAGAATGTGCGCAGTGGAGACGCGGCGAAGGTCAGACGAATTGCGGCGTGGGCTTGGGGACTACTGGCGCGGTGCCGGGAGGTAGGGCAAATGGGGACGGAGGAGGTTGGGGAGTTACGAGATTTGGGGAAGAGGGCGGCTCGGGTCTTGGGGAAAATGAGGGAAGAGGAGGACGGGAAGAAGGGAGCTGGAGAGGGTGATGAGGATGATGGGGAGGGCGAGGGCGAGGATGATGGCGAGGGCGAGGCAGTAGAACAGGCAGAAGGCGGTCATGATAATACTGGCGTTGAGGCTGACTTGGATAAGCGGGATGCGGATGCAGATGCGACTGCAGATGTCGACACTTATCCACGACAAGTTGATGTTGATGAGCTAGAGGCTGCCAAGGCACGGTTACAAGCGAGGATTGAAGGTGATGGGCCTGCTGTTGAGTTACCAAGTGACGATGCGGATAAAGAGAGTGGTGCTTCGGAGGTGGCACTGCAAATTCGCGCAATGTTGGATATGGTCATCACGGTCGTGGGGGAATACTATGGCCAGCGGGACTTGTTAGAAGCGCGCGAGCTATGGCGAGAAGCGACGGAGTGAGGATGATTCCAGGTTGCAACCATCTTTGTAAGAGATACATACCCAGCTGCATCTACTACTCGAGAATTGTGTTTATTATTAACTTAGTGCACTCAGTCTAATCTAGCAGGATCCAAACACAACAAACACGAAGGCTGACCGCTCTTTCCCGGCGGCAGAAACGGACCCGTATCGTCATCGCTTCGTCTCCACCGCTTCCCCTTCTGATCTTCACCACGCGCCCCATCCTCCTCAACTCCAGATACTGTGCCTACTGTATAGACCAAGTGATGCGTTCCATCCCCAGTCCTCAGAAGCTCTCAATAATCACATAAGCTTGAGGTTTCTGGCAACATGGCCCCCACCGTCGAGATAGCCATCCCAACAACCAGCATCTCCACCACCTCCCCGCCCTTCACTATCTACAACATCACCCTGCGCCTCCCTCTGCGCTCCTTCACCATCTCCAAGCGCTACTCCGACTTCACAACCTTCCACACCACGCTCCTCAATCAAACCAACGCCGCCCCACCGGCACCCTTGCCGCCAAAATCCTGGCTCTCCTCGACCGTCAAGAACGCCACCTTCCGCGAATCCCGCCGCCAGGCCCTCGAAACCTATCTCCGGGCAATCAACGAAGCCGAGGACCCCCGATGGCGCAACTCCCCCGCCTGGCGCGCATTCCTGAACCTCCCAAGCCTCGGCCCCAATTCCGCCGGCACTGCGAACGGTGACCACAGCACGGCGACGAGCGCCCGCCTCCACGCCGCCATCACGGAACCCGGCAGCATCACCATTGCCGCCAACCAGAGCAACGAGAACACCATCACGGATCCGACGTTATGGCTGGATTGCTTCCGGGACATGAAGGGTCATTTGCACGATGCCCGACTGCACCTGACGCGCCGCGACCAGGAGACGACGCCACAGCGGCAGCATGAGAGCTCGGCGCGGGCGAAGAGCAGTCTGGTGCGGGCGGGATCGTTGATCGCGGCGCTGGAGACGGGTTTAAAGAATATCTCATCTGCTGCTGCTGCTGGACACGGCGGTGGGGGTTCTTCTGCGTCTCACCAGGATGATGGGGGGCCACGGTTAGGTGAGGGCGAGATCCGCCGGCGGAGGGACCTGCTGATCAATGCCCGGAAGGAGAAGGACGGGCTGGAGGATCTGCTGAATGCGATGGCCGCCAAGAGTCGCATTGATAGCGCGGTCGCCTCAATTCAGGACAAGGAGGCGCTGATGAACGTGGCGGCCACGGCCGGTAGCAAAGGGAAAAAGGCGGTGCGGGCGTCGGGACGCGTGCTGGGCAGGGAGACGGAGCGCACCCGCGAGTTGGATAATACGGGCGTCTTGCAGTTGCAGAAGCAAATGATGCAGGATCAGGACGTCGCGGTGGAGGAGTTGATGCGCATCGTCAATCGGCAGAAGGAATTGGGGATCGCGATTAATAATGAGCTGGTGGTGCAGAATGAGTTGCTGAAGTTGACGGATGAGGATGCTACTAGGTATGTTTCTCCCTCTCTCCTCAGGTTTTTTTTTTTTTTTTTGGTGGGAATAATCGGGGGTTGTGGGGAGCTTCCGCTGACGTTGGTTTCTAGGCTGGGTGATAAGATCGACATTGGGAAGAAGAGGATAGGGAAGATCTCTTGATGAGCTCGACTTCTACGCGGTCAGATGATAGTAAGCTGGTCGGTTCTATTTCATGCAATGTGCCTTGTATCAGGCCTTGTACTTCTGCATTGTGATGCCTTGCATATGGATGGCTTGTTCTTTTGTGTCAGCTTTAGCGGATTTTGTTTCTGGTTGTCTCGATCATGTCTGAGTACCACCTAGTAATAGCACTCAAACAAGCATGGACTTTCATCTCGCCACGGACTTTTTCCAATGAATAAGCTTTCTCATTCTATCTCGCTCTTCCCTAACTGGCAGACATGAACGCCTTGGCCTCTTCTTCCGTCACCTCGGACCGATCCGACTGCTGCTGGTCGATCAGCCCTAGTTTACTCCGACGGACCAACCACCAGAGCTCCCGCCGATCGCCGCCCAGTTTCTCCTGCAGGATCTTATCCTTGAGCCCCTTTAGGAAATCATTGTACAGCGCCGGCTCCTCGTAGGCGACCAGCTCGTCCCGCATCGTGCCCAGACTCTCCTTGACCCGGTCATAGTTCGCATCCCCGAGACTATGGCGGATCTGACCTTCCACGATAGCACTCATCTGCCTCACCGCATCCTTGATGGTCTCGATATTCTCCGCCTGCGCCAACGTCTGCTTGAACTCTGGGATGGCGTTGTTCGGAGAGATCTTGGTGCGTTTCTCTTGGTGGAGCAGTGCGTCGACGTCAAGGCCGGACAATGGCTTCTCCGTCTCGCGAGTCCGCTTGCGCCCCTTGGCTTTGGGTGGTACTGTTTGGGATGTTAGTATAGGAATGCGAGGGCTGCATTTGACACAGTAATTGGGTGGAAAAGGGGTAGGACGTGCCTTTCTTGACGCCTGAGATGGCAATGAGTTTCTCGAGCTGTTTCCTGGATCGCTCGACCAGGTCTGGTGGCGGGTTGGCGAACTTCGTGAGGGTTGAGGAGGGTGGAGGAATGGGCTTGTCGGGGTGGATGGCGCGGAAACGGATGGCTGCGTCGGTGCGATGCAGCACCGGAGAAAAGGAGTCTTCGATCGGGAGCGTGTCTACTGGTTCTCTGCGGCGGGGGTGTTGTTGTTAGCAGGAGTGGAACATCGAGTTTTGGGAATGGTTGGGTGACGCTTACCCGTCCTCATCTGCCTCCTTGAGTTCCATGCCCAGCACGTATTTCTCCATGGCATCCATGAGATCATCGCTGGGTAGGTTTCGGTGCTGCGTTACCACTTTGCCGGACACGGTGAGGACTTTGTCGAGAGGGGGGAAGCGATACGTCCGGACGTCTTCAGCGAAGGGTAGCTGGGCTTCCAGAAGACATTCGTAATCGGGCTCGATGGACGGGGCAAGTAGGACAACGATCGGTGGTTTGTTCTCCTTGACCACTAGCCGAGCCACGGCGTAGCATTCCAGTTCGAAAAGGGCGTGAATGAATGAGGACAGCGCTAGCGCGGCTTTATCGTTGGCGCGCTGCGCGATGATGATGTTGGTGGTTGACATGTGCATGTAGCGGTCATACTGGAAAGTCAGTCAGTCAGTATTGTCAGTAGTGGGCTTCTCGGGTAGCGGACGTACGCGGTCGCTCTGGATGAAACCTAGCAGTTCCAAAGCTGCGAATGTCTCGAGTGTCGTGATGTTCAGGTCGGTTTCGCTGATATGAACTGCTGTCCGCCCGTATTCGTAGCCCTTGGCAAGATCACCAAGTTCCACCTCTCTCTTTCCCCCAGGTGCCTCCTCATCCGTGACCTGATAAGCACGGAGGTTCCGTACGTTTGTCAGGGAGCTGCCATCCAGTGGCTGAGAATTCTGGGTGCTGGTCACTGTCGCTGAGGATCCGGGCTCCTCTTGTGAGGCCGCGAGATCTGAGCGTAGGACGAATTGGCTTGCAGATGGAGGCTTCGCGGCGTGTGTGCGGAAGTATCGTTCCACGGGGATTCGGAGCGCAGTGTCATATTCTTCTGGGTCTCCAAGCTGCAGGAACCCTTTGAAGGTGGCTGTAACTCTGACATTTTTGACTCGGGGGATTTGCAGCTCTGCCACGGCCTGCTCCAGAGTCCCGTAGGCTCCGTCGCAGTCTTCGGCAAGACTTCGCAAAATTGCTTCATTCTCAGCCTGGACAGCTTGTTAGCTTGCTCAATCCCGGGATCGAGGTACTAGATAGTTACCTTCTGGGGATCTTTGTCTTCTTCTTTCACCCCAAACTCCGGATCATCAAAGTCAGGGCCCCTGATTAAGTTTAGCCAAAGGGTGGATGAGGTCGAGACTCGTTACGAACATGATGAGAAGTTCGATGTTATCCTCCTTGATTTTTTTCGTAATCTCGCCGAGGCTATCCGTATTCATCGGGCCCTTGCCGTCGGTAACGAGGACGATTCTGCGTTTGTACTTGAGTTTCTTGCAATGCATGATGATCATCTGGATTGCGAGCACAATAGCAGATATAGCTGAGACTATCAATACGATAAGGCCTTTTGATTAGAGGAATAGGCGCAAGTACCGTCACCCTTGTTGGTTCTACTCGGATTTATCCTTTCACTCAAATCTCGGATGTCGGGCATAAGGAATCTGTAGTATATCAGCATTGGACAGATATTTTTTGTGCACCAATAACATCACCCACTGTTTAATGCCTGATAGTACGGAGATGTTTGCAAAGTCGGCGTCATCTTCCAAGTCGTTCGAGGTGTCTGTTTCTCTGTCAGTCTTGCACTGGCGCCTCGCTTCGTCAGCCTCACCGTCGGTTCTAAGGCCGATCACACCTATTCCAGCTGTTTTCCGTCCAGTGGCTACCTAAAAATCATCATGAGCATAGGTCTTGCCAAGGAAGTTGTTGATCCAGATGGACATACCGTCCCGGTGATGCGATCCCAGACATACTGCATCGCCCACTCAAGATCCGTTACCGATCGGTCATGATAGCGCTGTCCCATGGACCTCCCCAGGTCCACGATGTAAACTGTTGCTTCTTTGTCCGCCATGGCTGTGGCTCGAAGTTCATGCCTGCCTTTAGACTTGCGAGCAGTAGCAAAGCTTTATGTCCTCTGGACGAGAGGCAGGCAGACAACGGTCGGCTTGAGGAACAGGCAGACGCGTGATATTTCCCCTTTGGGATGGAAGCGGAACGCGAAAGCACATGACATCATGAGCAGCTTAGTGCGTGGTTGTATGATAGACAGGAGTGGTGATTATATTCCTCCGCAGATATGGGTGTGTGGAGAAAGGGGCTGCGGTGCGAGAAATGTAGTGGCATTTAGCAATCACGATGTCGTTCCCCGCCCTTTGATGCATCAGGCAATCTGTAGAAATCCCCCAACTCTTTCGATCCGAGCGAGCTGCTTCTTACACAACTTTTACACTTTTAGATCGACAATACCTTTTTATTTATCTCACAGCCGGCAAGATGGTTGATCCTCGCCCATACCACGTTCTCAGGTTTGTGATCCTCCAAAACATGTCCAATTGTCTTCCCGGGGACGATCCGCTAACTAACGACTACACAGTTATGGAACCCTTCTGGGAGTGCAGATCTACCAGGTGAGTATACAAGACTGGCTGCTCTAATATGACTCCATGATCCAACCAGATTGTAGTCTTTCGTGTCGGGTATCATCGCTTTCCGAGCCCTTCCTCGTCCGCAATTCGCGCAGCTTCAGACTGCCACTTTCCCAGTCTACTTCTCCCTCCAGTCCGCGCTCCCCGTCGTGGTTGCACTGACGGCCAGCCGCGCCGGACAGCTGCACGGCATCTCTGGTCTTCTTGAACCGGAGAACCGCGGGACCCTGCTTTCCATGGCGACCATCGCCGTTGCCAGTTTCGTCAACCTGACGGTGCTGCGTCCGATGACTGTCAATGTTATGCGCGAGCGGAAGCACCAGGGTAAGTCCTGCGTGAAAGCAATCCGTCGTTCATCCACTGCCCAAGGGATCTGCTGCTAACTTTTGTGGATAGAAACGCGCGATGGTAAGAAGAGCTATGATCCGGCTCCTCACTCCAAGGAGATGGTCGCTCTGAACAAGAAATTCGGCCGTCTCCACGGCATTTCTAGCTTGGTCAACCTTGTTTGCCTGGGTGCTACGATCTACTATGGCGCTGTTCTTGGAAAGCAGCTGGCATAGTTCTGACTTCCCTGCTTCTCTGAAGACTTGTGGACGATTTGGATGTATTTCTCTAGGACTGCGGCCGCAGTTGTTGAGGGCAATGTTTTAGTGGGAACCACGCTCGAGACTACAATAGATAGTATACCATATGTGTCGATGAGGACACTTGTGTATCTGATTGAAGCTAGTAGTAAGTACGAATATGATCACTCTCCCTGGCTCCATGTGTTGGTAAATAAGTAGATTAGGAGCTTCTGATTCAATGTGAAGGGCATCCGGCTCCCAGTGCAGTGAAGTTGTAGCTTTGATGTCCATTTATACATTCACCTACTTCATAGACATTTTGTAGAAGCCATTCACTGGTATAGTACATTACATGATGTCGATCCCTGGAGATGATGGTTAAGATTTTCTTATTTCTGGATACCTCTATATCTTCTCTCGTATTTTATCCCGTTCTGCCCCGCCAACCTCTCCTCGTGATTAGCACAATTCTTGATAGGTACAGCTCCTGGTTGAAAATCTCTTATCGAGTGCAACCTATCAGAGTCACAAGAGAATCCGTTAAGAGACTCAGACATATGAAGTATCGAAAAAGTGATCTCAAATGGAGTTTTGAGACATAATAGATACTGAGTGTAACAGGAGCCAGCTGTGGTGGTCTACTGTTATACGATGCCTTTCAGATTCGAGAATGATAGAATTTCATTGGACATTTCTGAACCACGACCCAACAATACCAATCCAACGTCTCAGCATATTGTGCAACTGCACTTTGATCTTATTTGCACAGCACCACGACGAAACGTCTATACTCCTGCAGACAGCATATAATCCACGCGGGTATAGCTTTCTATTCTATGCAACCAGCCTCTTGAGCTATCTGAATCGCAATTTATCCTTATTTTATACAAACACAACATCTCTGTTCATCATGGCATCGATCAGTACCAAAGTCATACACACACATGCACATCAAAAGCACCAAAACTTCATCGGTTGGTCTGCCCGCATACCTTTTAGCAGACGCCTTGTCGCGATTGACCGAAGGAGTGCCGTACACACCTGAGTTCGATCTCGAGGGGCTACTTGAAGCCGAGTTTGCTGCTAATGTTGCGCACATCACCACATACGTCGGTTCTTCCGTTCAGCTGTCCGATGAATTCAAGCGAAGAATTGAAGCAGCATATACACTCGAAGGCCTTGGGGAGATGGAAGAAAAGGAAGCGTATCTGGAATTCTTCAGTTTATTTGCTTTGCTCTCCTGATCATAGGGAGGGTCGAATTTTCCCCGATTCGGTCTCTCAGTACGGCTGGAGTGAACCGGACCGGGCATGGACGTGAGCAGCTGATTGTGTCGTGTGGGCTCCTTCCTTCCCTCCTTCCTTCCTTGGGGTTCCAGGTCAAGCCTTTCCCTTCCCTTGGTCTCTTTCTCGATGGTCCCTTTCTCCTTTGTATCTATCTAGAGGGAGGACAGATTAATGAATGAAGGAATGAATGAATGAGAAGATGAGACATGAGCTCCAACAATGGTAGCATGTCTTGAACGCTCCTGACCCTCCAGTTGAGCCTGACAGTCAAGAGATCACTCCTGTCGTTCCCCTCACCCCTGTCATTCCCCAGAGTATTTTTCACAGTTTTAATTCTTGCATCTTGGGCCTCTAGATATAACATCTCCAAATCGAATATCTGCTCGCACATGTCAAGAAACGCGACGTATAGAGCTCGGATATGAAATTGCTTTCTTTATCTATACATTCTCAAGCGACTTTGTTTTGCAGTTCGACTATAATACAGTCGATCGAGCTATCTATATTCTATATATAACAACAAAATATTCTGCTTCAAAGCCTTATATCTATTCTCTAGACTGGGATATTAAACGTGAATAAGGCAGTTCGAGAATTTTACTATATTACAGACTATCTACCAAGCACACTACATTCCAGCAATAGCTACAGGATCAAGTGCCTAGCCGGATCCGACCAAGAGAATCAGAAAAACTACTCAGATACTCTATCTCTAGATCAACAAGCAGAGCGTCTATTACTCCATCTGTATCAGTTGAACAATCTGAGTTTTTAGTGTAATCTAAGCCCTCCGAACAGCAAACTCCGTTAACACCTACTACATATGAGCCTAATTTACTACCAACTAGACTATATCAACAGTAAACTGTCTATACTAGAGAAATAGACACTACGAGACATACTCTCTTTGTCTCTCAAATATCTATACTACTCAAATCAGACTCTATATACCAACCGTACTTTGCTACAGCAAAGAAGCTGAAGTTTCAACACTTCAGGATCTACTAGCAAAAAATCTACTCTCAGACCTTATTGTACCTACGAACCCGTCCTCAGACAAACTACAAAGTCGAACATTTATGTCTAGCGGTCCACAAACACGAGCAATGTCAAAGCGCCCAACATCCCCAGGTGCTACACCGGCCATTACCTCTAATACCAGATGAAGCCCAATGAAGCACTCAAAGACGAGGCATCTGCTAGGTGCAACCTACAATAGGTCTTATGGAATTCTGAAAAGTATATATTGGAGGTTTGAAACACGATTTGGCAGCCCATAGATGCCAAATCGCCAAAGTACAAGAATTCGATAAGCTGAGCATAGATGTCAGAATTCCCCTAGCTACACTATTGGCCGAGCAAGAAGATGAGAATATTGAAAGACAAACCATCATCCCCTGCATCGTCTGAATTTATCTTCGGTATCTACGTCTACTAAGCAGTCAGCTATATCGTCTAGCACTTAGTCTGCAGCTACATGGTCTAGTACTTAGTCTACACCTACATTGTCTACCAAGCCTGCATCTGCTACATTGTTTACTAAGAGTCTATATCTGCTATATCGTCCTCTCTAAGTAGTCTGTCGTAGCTACTACTCAGTCTACTGTTAATCTATCTATTCTGAGCCGGTCCAACATGGAAATAGAACGATAGAATCACACTTTATCCCCGCCTATCCAGTAGTCTAATGCTCCGATTGCTCCAACTAACCCCTCTTCTTCAATAAACGAGCCACCCATGTACTATATTCTTAGCTTAAATACTCAGGATATAATTGATGAAGCCGTCCAGAGAGAGTATGCTGCAAGTCAACGTTAATTGGACTTGCAGAGTAAAGTTGTGAGTTTGTAAATTTAGTAATATAGAGAACCAGTGACGGAGACTCACCCCACTGGAATTATGTCTATCATATAAACGCCTACCGCCCGACGTCATTAGAGACCGTGCTTTTTCATGGGAAGATCACACTAGATCAATACTTATGCTATATTAATATGAAAACATTATTCATTCCAGGGTATCATGTTCTAACACTCCGCTAAGCTATACCACCTTTCAAAATGCATCTTCCCCAATCTAACCTACAGCTACCCCTTCAGTTAGGAAGGTACTTGCGAATGGCGTCCTTCAGCGCGTTGATGCGCCGGTTGGTATGCACAAAATACTCGCGGTACATATCCAGACTTTCCTGCACAACCTCCTGTCGTACGCGTGACCCGGCGCAAATCTCCCGCATTCGAGTTTCCATCTCTTTGCGGAGAAACGGCTTGCTCAAGGAAGGGTTGTTGGGCATCCCGGCAAAGACATTATCGTAGCCCTCTACCAGGGCGATGCCCAATTGCGTGGGTATGAGCTCCTTGACCGCCGTCCGGCCGCCCCCGCGCGTGTTGACGGCAACGTAATGGCGGTCCTTGATCTTGGCAATGTGCTCGGCCATCGTGGCGTCGGTTCCGATACCGTTGGCGTCCATGAGCGCGATGAGCTCGGGTTCAGTCAAATAGTTCGGGGCAGTCGTTTCACCGTCGAAGATCTTGGCCTCCGTCGGCACGAATGACTCGCCCAGCTGGAATTTCGGCAGCTGCTGGCTGCTTTCCCATTTATCGTAGACGTAGACATCCAGGTAGTTTCTTTCAAGAACGAGGAGGCCCTTAGCATGGAACACCTCGTCACCGTACTCGATCTCGATCTCAGTGGACTGGCCTTTAGCGTCTTCGGAGCAGCAGGCCAGGAAGCGGCGGACAACAAACTCGTAGACCTTCTTCTCGTCGGCGCTGAGGGCTGCAGGGGAGACCCAGCAGACCGGGTGGATGGGAGGGTGGGCTTGATCGTTGTGGCGGCCCGCTCGTGGAGTCCGAAATCCACCATCCAGGAGACTGCAGCGGTCAGCAACAACTTCACAGGGTTGCGATCGCCTTCATCTTACTCTCGAGCGTACTGTCCCCAATTCTGGTCCGGAAACTGTTTCTCAACCAGCTTCTTCAAGTCGATGGCTTTGTCGAATTGGTCGGTTTCCGTACGTGGGTAGCTGATGAAACCCTTGGTGTAAAGCGCTTCGGCGACCTGGTGGATGTGAATCGGTGCGTCTGATTTTAAGCTAAGAGAATTGGGGCAATACCTTCATGATCGTCTGACTGTCCATGCGGAGGAACCTACTGCCCATCATTTGTAGATCCACCGTGGTCAATGGCAGGGGACGCCATTTGCTAGTAGGTTTCTGGTTGACTTTTGTAACCTTGGCCGTTTTGGCGAGGAGGCACCGCTCAAGCATGACTGTCACAGCTGCTCGGTCAAACAGATGGACACGCTTCCACAGGAAGTTGACTTTAATTCCCTCTCGTAGTAGCAGGACCTTGATACCCCAGAACGTCTCGGGCTTGAAGTTCTTCACTCGCAGATAGCGATCAACTACAAAGCCCAGGGTAGGAAATTGGCAAGACCCTGCATAGCATTTAGCAAGAGTGCGTAACAGGCACATACTACCGTCAGCATACCGTAGCTCACAATGGTATCTTCCAAGGCACTTGACAACGGCTTCAATTGAAGAGTCAGGAGCCGAGTGAACGCAGCACCAATGCGCAGATCAAGCTCTATTCTCGCTGCGACGGCATTCGCTTGGAGATCATCGAGCTCGATCAGCGAGCGAGCAGCATTCAAGACGTGACTGAGCCAATGGATCAGTCCGGACCTGCAGAGGCGTCAGAGACAACTTACGCTCTTTCAGTATTGCTAAACCTAGCCCGCTTGACGAGGATGCGAGCATTTCCTTCCTGAGCCTGCTTCCGGATCTCGGTTCCGATATGTTCACCTTCTCGATCACAATCCGTCCAGATGAACAGCGCTTTGCTTTGTCGCGCCTGTTGCTGAATATTTCTTGCAATGGCTGTTTTGTCCTGATGTTCGGGTCAGTGTTCAACGTCTCTGACCCTCCAGGTAAACACGGGTGCGTACGGAAGATACAGCCTCGTGTACAGGAGCCTCGAAAAGGGCCCCAGGGGGGCACGAGAGCCAGCTTTTGTACTCGCGTGCGAATTCCAGTTCCGTCAAATGCCCCAGGACACTGGTCATGGTGACATGGCAATGGCCCCATGGCCCCCCGAAATTGAAGTCGAACTGATAGTTCTTCACATATCGGTTACCAGTTACATTGGCCTACATCTACTTCAGCAATACGTTACAAGGCCGATTCGAAGCGACTTACTGTTTGAAAGGAGCCTCCAGACAAATGCTGGGCCACAGCCTTGGCGATGGCAGGCTTTTCGGCCACACATAGGATCCGCGACATGACACGACAATAAGTCTGGACTAGCGAAAATCCATGATCGTCTCCGCGCTAGCAACACTATAACATTACTCACTCTCCTGCAGGGAAGGAACTGGGGGACGGGATTGGACGAGAACCGGAACGCGGCGAAAGAGAGACGCGAATTGAAGTCACGGAGGATTACCTGCCTGAGGCATTCACACCCGGATGGCCCAAGCTCCCACTGAAGATCCGAAAGCGGCAAGGCGTTGGTTGATCATCATTCAATCAATTCTGACGGGGGGTGCCTGTTTGTTGTGCTTGTTTTGTTTGTTCTTCTCTCTCCAAGTGTCGGTCGCTTTGGCTTCAACTCGCATGTGAGAGAGACAGCTTCTCCCATCCTCCCCTCATAATACTATCACAAAATGGCACTCCCGCTACCTGACGTCAAGTCGGCTGTGGACTGTGCCTCCTTCAGTCAGACTGTCCTACCCTTCTTGTCGCAGCTCACCACGCTTCCCCAGCAGCTGCAGGTCGCTGCGACGACCAAGGATGCGACCCTCCTGAAGGATATCTACCTCACCACCAATCCTTTTATCTCGGCGCTTGGCTTGACTCTGGTGCTCTCTGTGCTATTTGTCATCACCTCTGAGATCAACCGCAACTACTCTCAGGTGGATCGCCTCTGGAGTATCCTCCCAGCTGTGTACAATGTGCACTTCGCTGTCTGGGCTCGCCTGGCGGGCCTGCAGACCCAGAGCCTGAACACCATCGCTATTTTCACTCTGCTCTGGAGCGTCAGTATTCCTTCCCCCCACCCAATTAATCACTTTCCGCACCACCCGACTCCTGCTAAACATTCCCCGCAGGCTCGTTTGACATTCAACTACTGGCGCCGGGGCGGCTACTCCATCGGCTCCGAGGACTACCGCTGGAAGATTGTGCGCTCGTGGGTGAACGACAACCGCTTCGTCTTCTTCCTGTTCAACATCACCTTCATCAGCGTGATCCAGCCCCTACTACTCCTCCTCATCACCGCCCCGACCTACAACTTCCTATGCCTGTCGCAGATCGCCGAGCAGCGCTCGTTCGAGCTGCCTGACGTGATCTTCTCGCGCGTCGCCTTCTTCTTCCTCGTCATCGAGTACCTCTCCGACCAGCAGCAGTGGAACTTCCAGAACGCCAAGCACGCGTACCAGAAGACTGCCCGCATCCCCGAGAAGTACAAGGGCGCCTACTCCGAGGAGGACCTGGAGCGTGGATTCGTCGTCAGCGGCCTCTGGTCCCTCTCCCGCCACCCCAACTTCCTCTCCGAGCAGGCCATCTGGCTGACCCTGTACCTCTGGAACTGCTACCGCACCGACTCCTACGTGCAGTGGACTGGCGTCGGCATCGTCGGTCTGCTGCTCATCTTCCAGGGCAGTGTCCGCCTCACCGAGTCCATCAGCGCCGGAAAGTACCCCGAGTACCGCGAGTATCAGGCGCGCGTGGGCCGCTTCATCCCCCGGCTGTCTGCCAAGCCCAAGTACAAGAGCGCTGGCAAGAAGAAGGCGCGTCGCGAGGCGGTCGAGCAGCCTGCTCAGGAGGAGAAGAAGAGTCAGTGAAGGGGGGCTTATTTGAAGTGGATATCTGTGGGTATCTGCATCGCTTCACTTGGCTGGAGTCGGGATTGGAACTGTGCGATCAGAATTTATGGAGTAAATATCTTGTTGTCACATTCCGGAGAGATGGACGCCCAGCTCCTGGTTTCCTATGGAGGCCTCTTTTTGATCATTTCTTTTTGTGTTATTTCCCTTTCGTGGTTTTAACACTTTTGTATGGGGTTAATCCTTCTCCTTTTGGTCTTATCTATTTCTCTTCTTGGATGTGTTTATCTTACAATATATAGCTCAGGGAGCAGCAGGTTCATCAGGCAATGCGGTGTGGGGGATACGGCGGCGTTGAAAAGCAAATGTGTACTGTACATGCTTGAATATACAGACGACAAATAAGAAACGCTCTACTTAGTCTGAGCAAGAATGACCGGAAAGATGATCCAAGTGTCTTTGTAGCGTAAAAAGTAAGTCATATATTCAGATTAACATAACACAACTATGTCTCTACTCCTCCATCATTATATTCCTTTGGGCGGTCCTTCGCGCCCGACCTACTTAATCCTCCCCATATTATCAAGATGCTCTCACAAATACTTAAGTTCATCGACCAAATTCTACAAACCTCGTGCATCCAAAGCGGCACGAAGAGTCTTCTGGAAGCCAAAGACATGCTCAGGACTCAACATAGTATAATGCGCCCCACCGACATCATGGAACCGGGGTGCCGAGCGTGTAAAGTCCTCCCACTTGCTCAACTGCTCCTCGCGCCACTGCTTCTTCGACGACGCGACCACCGCCAGCGGGATGCAGTAGAAGACGTCCATGCCGGCGATGCTCCCGCTGGGGTCGTAGTCGACGGCCATGCTCTGCAGCGAGAAGGCCAGGCTGGCCCATTTGACCAGCGCGGCTTCGGACAGCGCCAGCTCGTTCAGCCGGGCCTGGTCGGCCTCTGCCATGACGCGGGCCAGCGCCTCCTCCCTCGTCGTTCCGCCTTCAGCCATTAAAAACTCCTGGGACAGCTCGCGCGAGCGTGCCTCGGTGATTAAGTCCAGGAAGTAGGACAGGTGGAGCAGGCATTCCTTCCAGTCGAGCTGGCGCATCCGGGCCTTAATGTGCGGGGGCAGGTTAAAGGAGCCCAGGAAGCGGACATCGTCGCCGTGGGACTCCAGCACCTTGCCAACCTCGAAGGCGAGCATCGAGCCGTACGAGTACCCGGCCAGCGCGTAAGGCCCCTCGGGCTGCTCGCGCTTGATGGCCGCGTGGTAGGTCGCAACGACCTCCTCGATCGTCTCGAAGGGGGTCTCGCCGTCGTTGAAGCCCCGCGCCCGGAGGGCGTACACGGGCCGGTCGACGAGGAACTTGGCCAGGTTGAGGAAGACGAGCACCTCTCCGACGCCGGGGTGGACGAGCCACAGGGGTTTTTTGCTCCCTTGGCCTTGAAGCTTGACGACCGGGTTATACTCCTGCTGCTTTTGCTGGAGGTCGTGGAGGGCGCTGGCGAGGTCGCGGACCGTGCTGTTGGTCATGAGGGTAATCATGGGCAGCTCTTGGGTCAGATCGAGGTGCTCCTCGATGTTCTTCTTGAGCTTGATCAGTTCAATGGACGTGATGCCCATGTCAAAGATGGGGGTCTGTACGTCAAATTCGCCCGCGGGAAGGTCAAGGGAATTGGTGAAGATGGAGAGGAGCTGCTGCTCGAGGGCATCTTTCGGGTCCTTGCGCGTGACGCGGCGGTAGAGCTTCACCATCTCTTCGTTGATTTCGAGGTAGTTCTGGTAGTCGCCCTTCTCGTAGGCGGTCTTGATCTTCGCCCGAGACAGTTTGCCAATGGCGGATTTCTGCAGCATGGATCGATCAAGCGGCAGGAGCTTCGGCCGGCAGCCAGTGGACATCATGACAACCTTGGACATGGCGTCGGTCGTCTGTACGCGGGCAATCATGTCTTCGGGGGCGTAGTCTGGCAAGTAAACAACGACGATCTCCTCCGTGTCGCCTCCGGGAGGAAAAGAGGAGAAGCAGCAGTTGAAACTGCGGGTGAGGCCGGGGATGTTGGCCTCGTCCAGAGCGCTTTCGATGGCGTGGGGATAGTAATTCACCCCGTTGACAATCATAGTTTCCTTCGCTCGACCGACGAGGGTGAGGTTACCAGCCTCGTCAATGACACCGCGATCGCCAGTACGGAACCAGTTATCAGGGGTGAAGGCTTCAGCAGTCGCAGATGGGTTGTTAAAGTACTCCTGGAATACGACTGGACCAGAGACCTCGAGAGACCCGATCTCCCCTGCTGGGAGGGGCTTGTTTTCTCCGTCACTGATCCTCATGCTGATTCCGGGCATGCAGGACCCTACAGAGGCGAATTCCGCTGACCTCCGAACATCGTAGCAGGGAAAGTTGGTGTTGAAGATGGCGCCAGCACAAGTCTCCGTCATACCGAAGCCAGGGACGATGGCGTTGGGAGGGGCACCGTATTGTTCCAAGAGCTTTGAGACCTCCTCGCAAGTTCTAGTTACCACAGCCTCTCCACCAGAAGCAATATATCGCAGACAGCTTAGGTCCCATTCGCGTTGAACAAACTCTCCCTGGCTCTTGACGGTAGCGCGGATCTTGCCGAGGAAGAAATTGGGGGCGAACGTTCTCGAGACACGGTGCTTGTGTATCAGATCAATGAAGGCCATGGGGTTTGAGAGAACATCAGGGGCCTGGACATGGATCTGGTCTTTGCACCCATACATTGCCTGAAGATGGATCTCAATCATGGCCGCAACGTGGTCCAGGCCCACCCAGTTCATGAATGAGGTCATTTCAGGCAGCTCGATAACCCAGTATTTACCGGTAATGGCTGCGAGAATCTGCCCATGGCTCAAACACACGGCTTTGGAGTATCCCGTGCTTCCGGATGTGAGCATAAGGATGGCATTATCATCTGAACTTGAATCTCTACATATATCGGAGGACTCCATTGGGGAAGCATTTTCCACATCGAATGATTCCACAGCTATAGGGTCGATAGCTTCTTGTCCTCCGAATTCGGGTAAGAGGCTGGCTCGTGTCAGGCAAATGGGGCTGCTGAGCATTTTCGACAGATGTTCGAGATGTGCGGTGCGGTGGGAAGGGTGGTTGGAGAAGGGAATGGACAAGGCAGGAAGACATCCAACAAAGAGTACGGCCCAGAACCAGATGATGATGTCCAAGTGTGCGTTGAAGTGAAGCAAAACAACCCTGCCCCTTTGAAAGTCTTCTCTTGAACGGAGTACCTGAGATGCCTTCAATGCTAGCATGAACAGTTGATTGTAGGACAAGACTCTGGGTTCGTGCAGGCTGCCCAAAGGGTATGAGATAACATTGCCGCTGCCTTCTCTAGCCGCGACGGTCTCCAAGAGATGTTGTAAATTTCGAAAAGACATTGGGTCGGTCATGGAGCCGATGAGAGAAACGGAGGGGAGGGATGAGGGCTTGTGTTTGAGGGCTGAGCTGAGAGTCGAACAGACGGACGATGCGTTGCCTTTATAACTCTCTTCATGCTGGAGTTCAACTTGACAAAAGGGAGGCCAACAATCAGTGCCTTCCTGCACTTGTTGAATGGCTCGAGGAGGAAAATCCTTTGGCAATTGTGCAAGCCGTGCGGACTATGCAACTGAGCTGGCTTCCTCGGTCGTACAACTTAGGCTACTCTGGCTGATGCTGATCATCGTGTCTAGACGTACGATCAGCTGAACACAAGGCTGCCCATGCGAAAACCCGGACAAACCCAGGCAGCATGGAAGCAAAGTGCAATCCATCTGGTTCTGGTCTTCCACACGGTGCACGCGAACAGAGTTCAATCAAGACGCACGGTTGATGCCAGCCATCAGGTATACTCAAAGCCACCGCTTCCGCCACCCGCTCTCTCCCAGTGAAATGAAACTAATTTCTGCGGGCTGCTACCGGGATTCCAGAGCAAGCGTTGTAAGTCTTTCCCATCAGAGTTACTCGCTGTTGACCAGATAAGTAATTCGTAGTCACCGCTGCATTTGAGCTGTCGGGAAGCCAATAATGCTTGAGCTGCTCCCAGTCAACTATACCCAGTTGTCGAACCCAACGCCTCCTGTAAGGCATAGCTCCAGCCGGCTTTGACAGCTACACGGCTGTCTCCTGGCACTGGAGGCTGTCAAATGCCGTTCGCGGATATGTGCGGTGAAGCATCGAGGCAATCATGTCTTCTGGCACTTCGAGATATGTTTATCCAAGCCCGATGAGAGCGAGAGCCAAGAGTCTGGGCAATGCATGGCATAAGAAGGGTCCCTCAATGCAGGGCTAGGGAATATGATCCACGGGCGAGAGTCACGAAACGTGACTTTATGCCAACATCATATATCATGGCCTCCCTTGCGTTTCGCTCCTCGTTTATGCTGTGTCACCATGGGAAGAGCTCTCATGAGTCTAAATCACATCTGCAGCTGTCAATGATTGTATATGATATGTAACGGATTTGAAGCCCCTCGGGCCAGGATGAAAGGGTCGATCTCCCATGGCAGCAAGTCCACGGGCAAGTCCGGATCAGCGAGCTTTATAACCAACTGTAGTAAATGCAGCCAGCCAGCCCACTACCCTGCAGGCGATCATCCACCTTTGCTAGATCATACACCAAGAATTTCCAAAGCTGCCGGCTCAGAGGATGGGAGCAGTTGAGTGTCAAGTCAGTTGTTGAGAAAGAGAAATGTTGACCCCGCGTGACAGAATCGGGAGACGGCAATCCTCGAAATGCAATTTATAAGAACCAGTCAGCCTCCTTCCAAAACAAGCCCCTCCCCTTTGCTTCGTTGCATCTCACACAGTGACACATTCACTTCAACACTACAAGATGACAATTGCATCTAAAATGGGGCCCCGAATGGCCTTCATGGGTCTTGGGGAGATGGGCAAGGTAAGAACAATGTCCGTTCTCTTACAATCAGTTCTATTTCGAGAATATGCTGCCGGGCACTACTAATTGAAGCTCAGGCAATGACACGCAACCTCCACCGCGATGGAAATCTAACCAGCCCTTTGACGCTCTGGAATCGAACCAAGAGCACCGCTGACGCCCATGGTGCTGACCTCGGAGACTGTAAAGTGGCCGAAACCGTGCAGGAGGCGGTTGAGAACTCAGACATTGTCTGGTCATGCCTACAGGACCAGTCCGCGGTCGAGCAAGTCTTCGACAGCATACTTGCAGCCAACGTCGATATCACAGGCAAGCTGTTCGTCGACAGCTCCACCATCGCTCCCGAGTGGTCAAATGCCACAGCCAAACGGGTTATCGAGGCGGGTGGGGAGTTCGTCTCGATGCCTGGTAAGTCAGAAACTAGGACTCGTTGTTCTTGATTCTTGCTCCAGACTCTGACTTCTCGATCGCCGAATCTAGTAATGGGCGAGCCGGTGGTCGCAGCAGCCAAGAAACTCATCTGCATCCCAAGCGGAAAGCCGGAATCGGTGGACCGAATCCGACCATATTTGGAGGGCGTGTAAGTTCCAATGAACCCTAACTCTCTTTCGAGCATTGCAGGAGTATCGGGGCAGATGGCTCATGTGCAGTCTAGAGTATGCCGGGCGATTGTCGATCTGAGTGGAGAAGAGCCGGGCACATCGTCTCTCTTAAAGCTGATGGGTAATTTCCTGATTATGACGACCATGGAGACAGTGGCCGAAGTCAATGTCTTCGCCGACAAGTCTGGAATTGGCACGAAGAATATGAACAAATTGATGGGAGCCATGTTCCCCAACCCGCCGCATGCCATTTACAATCACCGCATGCTGACGGGAGAGTACTATGAGGGCACGGTACGTATCATATCTCATCTCGTTATATTCATAGACTGACAGAACCCATTCCATGTAGCCCATTGTCGAGGTATACAAAGCTCTGGCCCTCACGGGTCAAGTGCTGGAGATGGCCAAAGCATGCGGTGCCTCAGTCCCCATCTACGAGGTTGCGCGCGAGCACCTGAAACTGGTGCAGGAGCATGAAGGGCCCAAGGGCGATATCACGGGCATATATGGCGCTGTCCGAGTAAAGAGTGGCTTGCCTTACCGGAATGGTGCGGCGGAGGGAAGCAGCAATGAAAAGTAACGTTGCAACAACTTCTGGGAAGGGCTGATGCCTGGGTCCCAGCACAGTGCTCATGCACACAAGTCCCAAGAAGAATTCAGTGGCTGGCCACTATGAAACGAGCTCAGCCTACGTGTCAGGTCCAGTTCTCTACTTGCGGGCAGTGGTTGATTGGGGTTGATTGTATCAGATGTGTCATATGTTTGTATTCCGTCTCTCTTGCTTACAGGGCTACGTATGAGTCTAAATCGAGCCAGGGTCTGAATGGAACCCGCACCGCCTTTCCTACTACGTAACAAGAGCTGGTTCTGGACTGTGCCACACCGCCGGCTCTTGCACCGTCGATGAACGAAAATGACATATTAAGCTTACTTGTTGAGATCCTCTTGCGAGGGTATTGATTGATCGGATTAAGGCGCTTTGTGATGACTCCTTTTCTGCATTTTTATATTTGTGATAGTTCAGGTTACCTCTCAACCTCGCAACATAATAATCATACTGACTTTTACGGAGTTGACGTTACCGGTTGAATAAATCTGAAGTCTCTCAGTTAATCTTTTGTATACCTTCTCTGCATACAGACAACCCCCATATTCGAATAGGAGTTCTGTGGGACTAGCAAGTCGAATGGTAACTGAATCGCCCTGGTACTGATAGCTGTTTTGTATAGACTTTAGTCATTTGTGCATCCTGTACGCCTAAACTCCCAGTCCACCCCTTGGGTCTTCTGTTTCTACACAGGTAGTTCGAATGACTGCTGTATCAAACCGACAATCAATGTGCTAGCTAGCTACTATACATGAACACGACACATCATACACGGAACACGAACCCCCTTTTCAGAAACAAGGGAGAACTTTTCACCAGGACAGACGGGAGAAGTACGAAATACCTAGAAAGGGTCGAGTAGGTACCAGATGAATATGATCCACAGAGAGAGAGAGAGATGGTTGTGTGAATGGAGGGGAGGGGTTTGTAGAGCGGAAGGGAAAAGAAAGCATGAAATCTTGGTATTTATCGGCGTGGTCAACCATCGTGAAGGAAGATCCGCAGAAATGTGGGGTGCATTGAAGTTTCCCACAACAATAATATGAGAAATGTTGAAAGGAGATGCTCCGTGACTGAGAAATCAAGATCAATAGATACAAGGCCTAAACAGAATGGAAAAAATCGAAATAGAAAGAAAAGAGATGTATGTTCCCCCTCATCAGCCGTGAAAGTGTTCCTTGCTCCAACAGACACAATAATAAAAAAAGACGATGAACGGTGACAACCAGATGAAAATAACAGGAGTAGTGAAGGGTGAGAGATAAGCGACGGATCTATGGTGGGAGAGGTGTTGAGTCACGTCCATCCTTGCCTTGAACGCTGTCATCCTGTTGTGTCGGCTCAGGGGGAGCGATCGTGGCGCCAGAGCGACCATCAAAGTATTTGGCGAACTCGCCAGAGTCGGGCCACTCCCGAGGCCCCAGAAGACGAATCATATCGTCTCGACTGAGGACTTCTTTGGCCAGAAGTTCCTCAGCCACGAGACCGATTTCCTTCTTCTTCGCCTCAAGGAGATCTCGGCATTGCTTGTGTGCCTTGTCGATGATCCGGCGGACCTCCTGGTCAATATTGTGCGCCGTAGCTTCAGAGAAAGGCTTGTGCATCTGCGATTGCGGATCCTCCTCGTAGTAGATGTAACGAAGGCTAGGAGACATGCCAAACTTGGTTACCATGGACGTGGCCATCCGAGTTACTTTGTTGAAGTCGTCACTAGCGCCAGTTGTGATAGTATCAAAGTGCAACTCTTCGCTGACACGGCCCCCCAGTGTCATAGCCATACGGTCCATCATCTGCCTCTCGTTCATCAAATAGGTGTCGCCGTTGGCAGGCAAGTACTGGGCGTAACCCAAAGCTCCCTGACCGCGGGGGATGATAGAAACCTTGAGTAGGGGATCGGCCCAACGGAAGTACCAACCACAGATAGCGTGTCCAGCCTCGTGGTAGGCAACTGTACGTTTCTCTTCCGGGGAAAGTACAAGAGATTTCTTTTCCAGACCACCGATGACACGCTCGATAGCCCGCTCAAAGTGCGTCATGGTAATGCTTTCAGCGTTCTCACGGGCCGCTGTACGTACAGAAGTTAGCACTGCCTATAAGGTAAACACATGGATAGATACATACCGACGAGTGCCGCTTCGTTCACACAGTTCGCGATGTCGGCACCGGCGAACCCGGGAGTCAAAGCTGCAAGTCGTCCTTTCAAGTACTCGATATCCTCATTGGTCACGATCTTCTTGAGGTAGACATCAAAGATCTGTTTGCGACCGTCCATGGTGGGTCTGTCGATGGAAATGTGCCGGTCAAAACGACCGGGTCGCATCAAAGCCTTGTCCAGAATATCAGGGCGGTTCGTACCAGCCAACACAACCACTTGTTCGGAAGTGTTGAAGCCATCCATCTCGGTAAGGATCTGGTTCAGAGTACTCTCGCGCTCGTCATTTCCACCACCCATTTGGTTCTTGGATCGTGATTTACCAATAGCGTCAATTTCATCGATGAAGATGATGCAGGGTGTGTTTTTGCGGGCATTGGCAAAGAGATCCCGCACACGCGAGGGACCAACACCGACAAACATTTCAACGAATTCGGAGCCGCTGACGCTGAAGAAGGGAACACCAGATTCACCGGCTGTGGCTTTAGCAAGCAAAGTCTTACCAGTACCAGGGGGTCCGGAAAGAATGGCGCCGCGAGGAATCTTGGCTCCTAGTTTCTGGAACTTCTTAGGGTTCTTCAGAAAGCTGACAAATTCCATGATTTCCACTTTAGCTTCGTCCATACCGGCCACATCAGAGAATTTGATTTTGATGTCTGATTCGTGATTGAAGCGTTTAGCCCGGCTTTTACCAATGCCGAAGATCCCGCTCTGGCCACCTCCGCCGCCTGCACGTCTCGACAGGAAGAAGAGGCCACCAAGAAGAAGAACGGTAGGGGCGAAAGATAGAAGAGTAGCTGCCAGTGGGACTTCCTCGGAATATTGAACAGGAATCCGCTCTGCGCTTGGGATACCAAGTTCCTCTTGGGCCGCATCGAGCTTGCGCTCGAAGCTGTCAACAGAGCCGATGCTGAAGTAGTAGTAGAAATTGCTAGACTGAGCAGGCGAGCCGGGATAAACGCTAGCGACAGCCTCGCGGTTCAAATAGATCCGCACTCGGTTGTTGTTGATCACAACGAGCTTTTCCACCAAACCCTTCTCAAGGAAGTCCGCTCTGAACTCCTGCCAGGTGATATCCTGCTTGTTTTCCGAAACAAAGACACTGTTGTAGACCCAGAAGGCGAGGAGGGAGGCAATCAACATCGATGGGACATCGAGCTTTATCTCGTTGACCTTGGGTGGTTCTCCCTTGGGTTGCTGTTTTTTGCCGTCTTGCTGTTGTTCCTTTGCCTTTGCGTCTTTCTGCTGTTGACCCGTCCCTTCTTTCCCGGAATCCTTTATCCGCTGTTCCATGCGTTCTATATCTCGGCGGATCTTGTCGATATGCCCACCTGGTTTCGTTTCCTTCTTCGCCCAGTCTTCTAGCTCGTCCTTGAGTTGTTGTTTCTTCTTCTCATAGTCTGCAACATCCCCTGAGTCCCTTCGTGCAGCGCCAGCCAGCTCTTGACCCTTCTTCTTCTCAAACGCATCGTAGAGTTTTCTCACTTCCCTGGCGAATGTGATGAACCTCATCAGCGACGGGGTCTTCCCTTCAAGATTTTCCTGCATGTAAGATCTCATGGATGGAGTTAATCCGCAGACTCGGCACTTGTGTCGCAGTTCATCCAGCATTTCTGAAGCGATTTCGAGATCTATCCGCTCCTTCATAAAGTCGACATACTTGTTGAGTAGTTGCTCGTCTTCAGGTGTGATGAGACACTCCTCCTTCTTGCCATTGCCGGGTTGAGCATTTGTAGACTCCTTCTTGTTGAGGTCCTTGTCGTCCTGTGGCGGCTTCGAGCCGCCGTTGCTGGGCTGCTGCGTGGCATATGTGCGCGCTCGTTGCGCGAGGATCAGGGCGGAGACTCGGGATTGAGGGCCATGCACGGCGAGCGGCCGGGCGCGGAAGACACTATCGGCAACCCTCCTGGGGAGACGAGCGAGATTACCTGGCCGTCGAAGCAGGGAGGCCATGATTGCGAGGCGGGGTGGTGAAGGAGTTCGAGAGCCCGGGAGGGCGACAGGTTCAAGTTGGGTGGCGCGATGAGGGCGCGGGTATTGTTCCGGTTTGCTCGGGTCTCAATGGCACAAAAAGACCAGCGGATGCCACGCAAGGCTCGATTGAAGAGCAAGAGGTAAGAGAAGAGAAATAAAGGTGGTGGCGGGGAGGAGGGGGGCGAGGAGGAGTGAGAGGGGAAGGTTGGATGGAGCTGATTTCGTGCCGGAACGATCGTCTTCCCGCCGAAGAGGTCATCTCGCTCGGTCGTTTTTCGCCGTTCCGTTGGGCTGGCTGAGTCATCTGCATCCCACCGCCTTTCTGGATTAGTGATTGCGGTCCAGCCAGAATCCTTAGGAATCTGGTAGACTCCGTCATCGATGCTGGCTTTTGATACTGTATAGCCTAGATAATGCTGCGATTGAGGTGCTCCTGTTGACTTGAAATGCTTTTCTGATCGCCATCTCGGTGTAGGAAAGAAGCCTAGGGTCTAGATATTCCTTTACATGGTACCTAGGACAATATCACCGAGCAGGATGGAAATACAGCAAGTCTACCGGTCTCATTAATTACATGATCCATATCTTGCTCGCAATCGCTGTTGCCGAATGCGTTGATAAATTTATCCAAATCTCTATATGATTAGACCCATATGATGACAGCGAAAGGAATATAAGAAGTGGCCATGAAAGCTCATGACAGAAGAGACAACCACTGGATACTTTTCGATAAAGCGAAAGCTTGAAACATTGAACAAAACCCAACTCCATTCATAACCTTAAGGTATCGATCCCGACCCGACAGCCGGAGAGAAAGAAACGTAAGAACCCAAGAAAACCTTTTAGTCGAGATCCATTTCCTCCTGCGTAGTTCCGTCCACCAAGACTCTGGTCTTCTTTCCTTGTCTGATGCGCTCCTCGCCGTGCAGTCTGGACTTGCCCGTCTCCAGAGCGGCCAGCTGACCCTCCTCGCGCTCGCGAAGCTCCTTGCGGATGAGGTGCTCGCCCGAAGCCACCACCTTGCGGTCCTCCTCGCGCTTGCGGTCCCGCGCAAGCTTGCCGGCCAAGCGGCGCTTGGTGAACACCCGCTCTCTGCGCTGCCGGATCTCCTCCACCCTCTCCATAGCCTTGATGGTGGCGGCAACCAGGTTTCTGTCGTACTTGACGGGAACGTTGCGCTTCTTGGCGAACTGGGACAAGACAAGGGACGAGTCGACAATCATCTCCTTGCCCTTGGCAGCACGACCGACCTTGGTCCACTTCACACGTCTCGGTTGTCGCTTGGCCTTGAAGTTCTGATGGGTAATGGGGATGTCAGTTTCGTTCTGAAGCATGAAGAGTGGTGGGGGGCAACTTATCATTTGCTTCTGCAGAATCGGAATGCCTTGGCATCGTTGCGAACAAACTGGATACCCTTGCTAGGGTAAACAGGACGAGAGCAGAAGTGACAGGTTTCGACTCTGTCGAAGTCGTTGGTTAGAAAAAAAATCCAAGTCACAGCACTAGCGATAACGATGATCGAGATAAAGGTAAACTCACCTCATGTTGGGCTATTAAACGGCGTGAGAACCCCAGAAGCGGCGATTATGTGATAGTAATGACGGTGGCACTGTCACAAAGTACCAGCAGGACAAGTAATAAACAGAAGCCGCAGCGAGAACTCCCTAAATCTCACCGTCGTGTCGAGAAGATATCTGATGTTCAGGACAGGAACCGCCATTCAAAAAATTGAAGCGTGGAGCAGCCGGCGCTAATCCCAAACGGGAATTGCGGCGGCGCTCCGATTTTTCTATCAGGACTGCGGCTGCTCCTTCTCCAACGTCACCTCGTCGAGATCTCTCTTGCGCCTTTCAAGCACAACACACCCTCAAGCCAGCTTTCGCACTCCTTCAAAAATGTCTGCTTTTCTTTACGGTGTTGGTATCGCTACCGCTGCCTTTCTGGTAAGTCTGAAGCTGATCTTTGATGGTCGCGGATAAGCAGTGAGCTAACCTCCCTTTCTCCGGAACAGGGTCGCGCGGGCTATGTTGCTCTCCAACGGTCTAGAGGCGGTATGAATGCTGCAGGCAAGGCGTTCTATAAGGGGTAAGTTGGTTTGACTGAGTGTAAACTTGCTAGGACGGAGCACTAATCAATATGCAGCGGATTCGAGCCTCGGATGAACCGTCGCGAAGCATCGTTGATCCTGGAACTTCCGTACGTCCAATCTGCTTAGACTATTGCTTAATCGAAAAAAGGCGGTCCCGACTAACGAGGTGATAGAGAACGCACTTTGAACAAGGATAAGGTCCGCAAGAAGCACCGCCAGCTCATGCTGCTCAACCACCCCGATCGCGGTGGTAGCCCCTACTTGGCCACCAAGATCAACGAGGCCAAGGAGTTCCTCGACAAGCAGCTTTAAATTATTTTCTCCCGAAGGAGAACCCTTAGTGGAGCATTTCCGTGATGAGAAAAGACGGTATGGTACATCTACGTATCAACCATTGTACAAGAGTTTCGTCTTTGGGTGCGCATAGCGAGGCGTTGGTGGGCATTTTCTAGACCTCGGGAGTATAGTCCCGGGGAACCCTTCTGATGAGGGGGCCTGTATTTACACTACTACTATATACTGACGAGATCGCCGCTCTTAAATGTATAGCTATGATGATTAGCAGAGGGGGTATTTTGGCCCAACGAGTAATACTACGGTTTTGTCGTATTTGCGTATCATATCTTGGTTGCGTATAGATCTCGTATGAACGCGCTGATCCACCTTGTGTGACATGTGATAGGTCTTTCACTAACCATGTAAACCAGGACAACCTGGGATGTTTGAGTCTCTTGATCATGGCTACAAAAGTGAAAGGCAAACGGTATCGTAATGCCAAGCGAACAACAACAACCCTGCACGGGGCTGTGTATGCCAAATGGCAGAAACAGATGGATGGACAACGAAAGACTCACCGCATTCAATGAACACCGAAATCGAAAGTCGATCGCGGAACTCGGAGGGCGGCCTTCCATTCTCCGTTCACACTAACGGGGATTCGGGGTTAATGATTTCCGTCCGTCTCGTATTCCGGCCTACTCTCAGGGAAGCTTGATGCCAGATGATACGCTCAAGTTGAAGATCGCAGGAGCTAATGCGGAGTCTTAACAGTCATTTCTCAGATCATCTCTCTGTCACCGTGGACGAAGGCAGCAACCCTTTGAAGCTATGAACATACTTCGTTATCTGTCATTCGTCTTCTCTTCGTCAGCTCGGATCAGATTTCACAATTGATCCGGTCCCATTATTGCTTCGAAATCCCACAATCTACTCACATGTCAAATCAAACGTTCTCGACCTCTGCCCCCTGACAAGTAGTTTTTTCTTCTTCCCCTATCTTTCACTCGAGCTATTCATGACAATATTTCAATAAAACACTCTCCTCTGCGCTGAAAGAGACCAAGGGGGAAATAGCCCGAATCGCCACGTGCTCGTCACTTATCGGGGAAGCAGAAGTGGATTACTCAATCCACTCTCCGACTGAACTAAATTCCTCCCTCATTCCATCAACCGTTTTCCCTTGTCCTTCAGTTACTTGTTCCCTACGGCCGGTTCTTTTCGGCATCTTTTTCCTTTTGTTAAAACTCCTTTGGCGCCTTTCCGTTCAAGTGAAGGCGCATCCTTTCCACATGAAAGCAGGCTCCTCAATCGCTTCACCCTAGTCATTCCTTATCGCGAAATCAACGGTTGGCTTGCATTTGCATTCCATTGACGTCGTCGGGAAAGTAACCCCGCATCCAGCCCATTTTCGACTCGCCTCAATCGATACCCGCTCGGTCTAGAGACTCCACTACATCATAGAAGGTCGTCCTTATACACTCAGATCTTTTCCCACTAGCCTCGATCTGCAACTGCAATGGATGGCATTGGGGATGGCCCTGATGGCATGGGCTTCGACATGCCCATGCTCATGAACCAGCAGCACCAGTTTTTCGGCGGCTATCCTCACGACACTTCGCCGATCTCCTCCGCGCATCACAATGGGGCTTTTCAGGAAGATGCCTCAATGGGCATGGGGGATGAGACCAACGACGCCAAGAGAAGACGAATCGCCAGGGTGAGTCGCTGTTCGTTTGGTTTGACGCACCGCACTTGGTCGTCCGGTCGGTCTTGAGCTGATCGTACTCTCCCTAGGCCTGCGATATGTGCAGAAAAAAGAAAATCAAATGCGATGGCAAAATGCCCAAATGCTCCCACTGCATCAACTACAAGACCGATTGTGTCTTCACCCAGGTGGAAAAGAAGCGGAATCCACCCAAAGGGTGAGCATACCTTCGGCCGGCTGTCCTGTTGTCTGTTTTACGCTAACAACCTGGGGTCCTGTAGTGCCAAGTACATTGAAGGTTTGGAAAACCGGTTAGGAAGGATGGAATCGCTACTACGCCTTTCGGGCTTGCTCTCGGAGGAAGATGGAGGAAAGACCGACCTTGGGACCCTAGAACGACGTCTGGCCGATCGATCTTTGGCCAACGGTGGGCTGAATCTCCCTAGAAGCCCAGGAAAAATCAACACCTCAAACTCCAACAACCAATCCCAACAAGCTTCCTCGCACCACTCTACCCCTCACATTGAATCTCATTCGAGTCCGCATACGGCCCCCACATCCCCGGACTCGTCGAAGGGGTCTGAACCCGAAGTCGAGGGCTTGTCGGACATGATGTGCTCGCTCGTGACGAATAATTGTGGCGAGACAAGATATATTGGTCAGTATGTCTGCATGAGCTGGCTCCAGAACTTCAAGTTGACATGCTGGGTCAGGTTCATCGTCGGGATTCTCAATCTTCTCCCCGAAAGGCATACAGTGGGTGAATGAGAAGACGGGCGACTCTTCTTTCCAGGATATGATCTCCTCGGCATATATCGACGATAACAAGTGGATGTATTGGAAGCCTGAAATTTTTAGCGACATATTCGCCCGTCGGGTTTTCAAACCCTTGCCTCCGAAGGAAGAGGCACTGTCCTTATTCCAGGACTTCTTTGCCAACTTCAATTGCATGTTTCCGCTTTTCCACGAACCGACTTTCATGCATCTAGTAGAGCGGCAATATTCCCGAGATCCGTACGAAGGCTCTGGCTGGTGGGCGAGCATCAATGTTGTCCTAGCGATCGCGCACAGGATTCGAGTCATGAATAACTTAGTGCCACAAGAGGAGGATAAAAAGGCTTGGCTCTATCTCAAGAACGCAATGGCCGTGCTGACTGAGCTCACCATGCGAAATACGGACTTGCTGAGCGTTCAGGCCTTGCTGGGAATGGTAGGTGGCTTTCTTGGATCTCTCAGATCGCAACGATTGTTAACACTGCTCTAGTCACTCTTCTTACAAGGTACCCCCAACCCGCAACCGTCTTTCTTCCTTGTCGCGGCAGCAATCCGGCTGTCCCACAGCATAGGGCTGCATAAACGCGGCTCGGGGTTTGGTTTAAATCCCGTAGAGGTTGAACAGCGAAAGCGGGTATTCTGGATTGCTTATTTGCTCGACAAAGAGTAATTCAATTCTTCTTTTACTTGATGTGTGCTTGCTAATCTCTTGACTAGTCTATGTCTCCGTTCCGGCCGCCCACCTGTCCAGGATGACGATGACATGAATGTTGAATTACCAAGCGAAGATCCTCCCGACAACATTGGTAACGTACCACTATCAGATGGGAAGAGCAAGTTCAACCTTTTTCGGTCGATGTGTCGTTTTGCTACTATCGGAAGCCGCGTATACAAGCGATTATACTCTGCCAAGGCCTCAAAACAGTCGGATGGGGAGTTACTGAACACTATTGGAGAGCTTGACAAAGAACTGGAGGAGTGGAAGGACAGTATACCACTCGATTTCCGGCCGGAGAATGAGATCAAGGCCACCCATACGCCATTGATTCTACACGTTGTCGTTCTTCATTTCGCTTACTACAATTGCTTAACAACGATCCACCGAATGTCTGTCCATCATGGTTACTGGACAAGCCGTCTATCCAACTATGCCATTCAGGGTCTCAATGCACGGCCCTTGAACCCCAGGGTATTCTTGTCGGCGGTTCTTTGCGTGACTGCTGCTCGGGCGTCCATCAATCTTATCAAGTACATCCCGCAAGGCGATTTCGCCTGTGTCTGGTCAGTATATTCACCTTTGGCTGCGAAACTGTCCGCTTACGATATCTAGGTTGATACTATACTATCCAGTCTCAGCACTAGTCACCCTGTTCGCTAATATCCTTCAAAATCCCAACGATGCGCGAGCGCGATCGGATGTGAAGCTGATGAACGTGGTGGTCAATTTCCTGTCGACGCTGGTTTCCGATGAATCAAACGGAAGTATCAAACGCATGCTCAGTCTCTGTGGGGAGTTTGAACGGATCGCGCAGGTGGTCCTAGACAAGGCAGAAAGGGAGTCCCATTCAAAGAAAAAGCGCAAGGCCACCTCCGATGACCCTCAGAACGCGCAGCAACGAGAGACATCAAACGGAAACCAATCTCCTACGACCCCCGCCACGAGATCATCAGATGCGCCCTCGTCTGCCAGAACAGCAGTGCCCCTTGCGTCGGCGTCCTTCCCAACGGCACAGAACAACCAGCCCACGGGCAGCGCACCGACTGCGGCGCGCAGCTTCGTTCCCGACCAAGCCTTCCCCACAGCCGGTGGCGGTCTGCCTCCGAATCTTCAAGAAACTATACATAGCCTTACAGGTCTTGGCCCTGACTTTGAGATGCTCAGCCCGCATAATCTGGACGGCGTGCGGTTCGGCGAGCAAGCGCCCTTCACGTCGACAACCGCCGACAACCCTCTCTCGTCCTTTCAACAACCATTCGTTCCACAAGATCTGTGGCAGATGCCGATGACCATCGAATGGGATTGGGCCGACATGTCGAACAATTTCCCGGTCTTTGGTGATACCAGCGGCCCCAATGGCGGGCCTCCGAATGAGTCGTGATGGACGCCTACACAACACACGGGGCGAACGGGTCGCACAAGGGACGGGAAGGGATGCGGAACGGGTACATGCATGCGTAACGACTACCTTTGATTTGTCTTCTTTCTGATTTATTCTCAACGTTTACATTCATCTCATACTGGAGTTCCACGGAGTCGCGAGGGATAGGGCCGAATTTGATCCGAGACACATACTCAGGGGAAGGGGGAGCTGTAGGACATTGTGCTTCTGGACGGGCACTGGCGTTATTCTTTTTGGCTTCCATCTATCTCCCTTTCGCCGCTTTTGCCATTCCAAAAGTTCCCTCATATACTCAGCATCCTTTGTTTTATACCTCTCCACTACGATCATATCCCTTTCGGTTGGTTGTCTCCTTTCAAAGAACCCCCTACGCTGCTGTTTTGACGGGGACTGTGAGACAGAATGTCAATCTAATTCTTTCTTGTTCTTGTGTTCCTTTTTGTGATGCTTCTCGACAACTTCCTAGGGCATATACGGAGTTGTCGCTTTTTGACCACCCTATATCTTTCCGTCGCTGATCTGCTTGATTTGGGGGTTTCGGGGGGATGGTGCATGTGTACTGACGCTATTCCTGTACTGTATACTGTATACTGTACGCTATTTACATCATCGAGGATTCCCATCTCAACATCCATCTTTCATACATACTCATATTTTATATTGGACGGGTAAGGTGGAATGCCCGCCGGCATCTAGCTTCTGACCTTGTATTGTTTGAGGTTACGTTCTTACTTACCCCGGGGTTTCTCCTCATCATCATCAGCCTTGTGAGCTGGAATTTACTGGCATAGTCATTCCAGGTTAGGTAGATGCAGCAGCTATGATCCATTTTCTTCAAAAAGCATTCCATGGACACATAGATCAAAAATAACTAACCCTGTAAGAACAGTTCGCTTCATAAGATATATTACCACTGCCAGATACTAATGACCCATGATACGAGTGAGTATCATGTACTACCATACATGCAATAACTTAGTGTTCAATTTAAAAACAGCTCAGGGATATTAAACTATGGTACATACGTACATACATACCATACCAGCAGGTGAAAAGACAGACGCCTGCATGTCATACCATGGCCAGTCCAGACCTCACTAGTCAATTCGAGTTGCAGTTGCAGTGCGCCTAAAAGGGCAACTACATACACCAGTGACGCTGCCAGGTGCGCTGCCCGCCACCCAGATGCTTCCCGTGCGACCACGGCCGGGCCGAGACCGAGGCAACTCACACCTTTCCTTCCCCCCACCCGCCCGCCACGATTTATCTTTACCGTTGCCTCAAATTCTTATCTCCTCTCCTACCGAAGCCATTGCATCTGCACCGAAATTGTGGTCAACAGTGCTGGGCTGACTAGATCAAGATACAATGCAGTCTAACAATTATTATGGACTTCAATGCAGGAGGATAGAATTGATATGGTAGGTTCGAGAAAAGATTTCCTTTATACAGGAGGAACGAAAGAGATAAAAAAAAAAAACGAAAGGTGTAGGATTCGCAGGATCATTGGTGTGAAGGAGCACATCGGCTCCGTTTTTGTGCAATTCTTCTCCAGGCAGGTTCAGATGACGTCGGTCGATACTGTGAAACTCGACCGACATGTCATGTGATATTTGGTAGAGACGACTCGTGACCTTCCTTGCAAAGAGTGCGGATTCGATTCAGTCGGTAGAACCAAGACTTCCCTCCTTGGGAACCCGAAGGCCAAGTACAAGATGCGCGCATGCAGTCGGATCGAGAGATTTTCTCTTCGAGTGGGCTAAAGAGTACAGGAAACAAGTCACAGAGAAACAAAGTAACATATGAAATTGGTATAGGCGGAGTCAGTCAGTAGGTGTAGTAACAGTGGCTGCCGTGGACCATCCGGTCCCAGCCGGCGCTGGGGTTATACAGATAGATATAGAAAATCTGCAAAACATGCAAAAGGGGTGTTCCAACTCCAACACGAGAAAAGAATATCAACATTTACAAAAAGCCACGCAGTCTCGTACATGTCATCAGGGTGATGTGCTGGATAGCTGTGCATCCAGCGGTTCGGTGGGAGAGAGGAAGAATAGCGGTCGGATAGGAGAGCGGTGGGGGGGAAAGGAATGTGGAGAGTCGTCCGGGGGGTGGGGTGTTTTGGTCTATTCTTCCATCCGGCCAAAGATGCCATCGTCGTCATCGTCTGCCTGGGCTGGCCGGCTGCTAAAATCGACATCCGCGTTGCGAGTTTGCCGCTTGGCGCGGTCTGTTGCACCGTCCACTCTGACTTCGCGCTCATCGGAGACCTTGTAAGACAAAGATGGATTGTAAGAGAGAGAGAGGAAGATGTTGGAGGTGGGGTTGGAAAAGGCCGAGTTGGCGAGGCCTGTGTTAGACTGGTCTAAACTGTGGCTTTGGCTGTCGGAGGGACTGCGTTGATCGAGGAAACGCGTCGGGAGAGAAGGAACTGGGGGCACGCTGGGGGACAGCGGCACAGGCCCCATGCGCGGGGTACCAAAATTGCAGAGGCCAATAGCTGCGGCCAGGTCAGCCTCGTCGTCCTCGTGCAGCTTGGCTTCCGCGGTGGAAGGACGTGTATCTATGCTCGAGTGTCGGACGTGAGAAAATGCCGGGGAGGCCCAAGGAGCACTGCTCGTAAACGAACTTGAAGGACCAGACTGATAAGAGTGAGAAAAGAGGCCCGAGGCATTACCAACGCTGAATCGCTTGTCGGCCGTGGGTTCCATGGACATGTCTTCATCGTCGTCATCGTCCTCGTCCATCGGGGGCGGCGTCGTTTCCGCGGAACTCAGACCTTCCTGAAGCTCCGACGATGCGTCCGGTGAGGATGAGGAGATCTCGGAGTCGGCTTCAGCGTTCTCGTCTGGATCCTCTTGAGTCATCGTAACCAGTACGGAGGCGGCCTCCAACAATTGCACCTGTTGATGCTTGGAGATCAAGAGCTTCGACGTGATTGCCCATGCAGGGTCATGTTCCCACCTGTTTTCCGTAAACGTCAATCTACTGTGGTCCACCACGATAAAGGAGAGTTGAAGGGAACGAAATGACCACGAAGGCGACCTTGGGCAGAGCCGACGTGGCGCAGTTGCTCCGGACCGAGCCCGGTGGCCGGATGACATGGGGGGGAAAATACACACATATGCTTGGACAAGCAGCTGCCATGCTTATACCCTTTCCCACAACGCTCGCAGCGAAGCTCGGCCATGGACCGCTTCCCCTCGGGTTTGACCAGATGGCCTCCTTCGCTGGCCCGTCGATTGCGGTTTTTGGTGTTGACTGGCTTGGCCGCTGAGTTGCTGGAATCGGAGGGAACTGGCCCGGAGTTCTCAGTGATCGTCGCGGGGGGCGTAATGGTGGTGGTCTGGGAAGGGGAGGTTTTGCGAGCGACCGGGGGTTCCTGGCTGGGGCTGTTCATGCTGCGAGACAGATAAGAGCCGAAGCCGGAGGGGGCTCCGACCGAGCTGGACTCCCAGCCTTTCCGACTCCCACGGCGGTGTGCGGGCATCGGAATTCCCATGGCATCGCCCGATTCCTTCAAGGAGGCAGCGACCGCAGCAGCGGCCACATTAGCAGCAGCGGCAGTGGTGACACTCTTGCGACGAGTCACCCGATGATTGGCGTTAGCCGCACCCAGGGAGATCGAGTGAGAGTGAGAGTGATTACGGGGATTCGACTGAGGAAGAGGGCGCGAGAGAGACAATTCCTAATAGTTGGAGACCCAAGTCGTTAGTCGAAAGTTTTAGATGGCCCTGGAGGGAGTGCTGATGTTCGGAGAACACGCCATCCACGGAGAAAGTCCAGGGAAAGGAGGACGGCACTTTACCTTGAAAGAGGCCATGGTTTAATACGTGGACTGTCGGGCTATGAGATCCCGTGCAGCCCAGCGACAGTAGTTTCAGATAGTAGCAGAGAGTATTTCTAAGTGGTGTAGTTTGGCAACGGGAGTGGAGGGACAGTAGTAGAGAAGTAGAGGAGGAGCGGGAGGGGGAAGGAAGGAAAAGAGAAATAAATTGAAAGAAGTGAGGCAAAGAAATTCAGCTGGCGGGCAAAATCCAGGGATACGAGCGGCAGAGCAGGTACCTGTCAGGCTAAGCACCGGGAAAGTTTAGGAGCAACTGCAGGAGGGAATTTAGCAGGGCAATTGGGAGAGACACGCAATTGGTTGTCTAGTTGAGGGAGAGTTGTAGTTGTATGGAGAAAGGTGAGAGAGTAGAAGAGAGAGTGAGAGAGAGAGAGAGGAGTTGCAGAAGAGGAGGAAGGGGAAGAGAGAGAGAGGGGAAATCGTAAGTAAGAGGGGAAAGAGACGAAGGGAGGAGTGAGCAAGAGGGAGGAAATTGGGCAAAACAGAGAAAAAGAGGAGAACAAAGTCAGTAAGTAAAAGTAACTAAAGTAAGTCAAGTAAATGTTGGGGAAAAGGGAAAAAAAAAAAAAAAAAGAAAAGAAGAGCTGCAGGGCAGAGAAACTACGAGAGGAATGAATGAATGAATGGATGGATTGGATGGCTGCACGAGGGCCCGTCCAGTACGTACAATTATTATTATTATTATTATTATTGTTACTGCTGATAATAACTTTACCTACTGACGGATACTGATAGTAGTGATAGTTGGTTGGTTGTTGTTCGTTATTTAATTCCATTGCATCAGTCATCTACAGCCAGACTGGGAAATTGATTGAGTGCTAAATCCATTTTATTTTATTTTTATTCCAATTCCAATTACTGCACCATACACTAAGGTACTTATTTGCGGGGGGAGGGAAGAGAGGGGCTTCTGCTCTTGTTACTCTCTTGAATCAACGACTGTATACTTACTGTGTACTTTTTCCCTTTCTTTTTCTCCATCTCTTTCTCCCTCGTCTGCTTCTTACTGATGGGATATCATGGATCTCTCAGCTAATAGCATGATCTTTCGAGCGAGGATTGGCTGCAAATGACTGGATTGGGTTTTTGCTGGCTTTCCAGCAATGCGGGGGTCGGGCGATCCGCTCTGGATTTCGACTCAATTACCCTCCAAAAACCAAAGAAGAAAAAAAACCCCAGACGCTGTCCACGCGGGTCTTTTCCCCAGCCAAGATCCATCCCGATTTTCTTCTTTGCTTCTTTTTGTTCTGTAGTATTCTGAGCTGTCTTGCTCAGGGTTGTTTCTGGAAAGAAACCACCATCCACTCATTGGATTCTAAACTGTGTAGTTTAAAAATACTGAGAGCCAACTAGGTTTCAAGGACAGTCAGGGCTGGGCCGGTTCCTGACTAAACACCGCCAGCAACAGGAAAGACGAAGCAACAGCAGGATGTTATTTGCTCCACTCGCATCTGCCTTCCGAGAAGTGGAAATCGTGGATGAGATCAGCTGGGTCCAGACAAAGAATCTGTTTTGGACTCCTATGTTTAAAGCAATGAAAAAATAAAAAAGATGATGATGATGATGATTTAGAAGAAGAATACTGTGTAGTTAACTGATTTCTCCGTTTTGTAAGTGACCAAGTAGCAAAGTTGCTGTTGGGGGACGAAGAGGCACAACTCCGGTTACCTGCGAGGCTAGGATCCATCAGCTGGTGATGCTGCAATGGGAAGATGCCAAATGCCCCGAAATTCCTCAGTCGGATCGTTTACTTCATTCTTTGTTGCCCTTTCCCACAAAGAAACTGTCACATAGTCATGATGATAATAATAATCATAATAAGAGACTTTCACAAATCATAAACCCCAGAGATTCAAAGAAAAAAAAAGTTTTAACCACAAACGTACTTTGGGGAAAGCTCTCATTGTGCCACGAAACAATCAAGTGTAACTTGGGTTGCGACTCCCTACTCTTCCCCTCGTCCAAAAAATCACTCACTCACTCACTCAGGCTGAATCGGGGCCTTCCGCTCCCCGTGGCTGTCGATAGCCAGCCATGACCATACCGTAATTACGCCACTCTCCATCGACCGGTCTAGGGCCTGATAAAGGGTGGAGAGGAATGATGTCATCTCTGCCAGCTGACCGTACTATACGGGGCAGGGAGAGAGGGGCCGGGGAAGCGCCCGCCCCGGTTGAGTTCGGTACCGTCACGGTAATGTGAAAGTGAAACTACTAGTACAGTACAGTACCAACTGGCACTAACTGCCAGCGATCACGACCTTATCTCCAGTCAGTCCCTCAGTCCCTGGCTGAACTGACTGACACGTCTTTCCTCCCTCTATCCGACATATCTCTCACAAGAAATAATAAAAAGAAGTTGTTGACCTCGATAACTCCCTACACTGCTGATGATTCCTGTTGATCTCTGAAACCCTACACAGCACACAGTATGCTGGACACTGCTGGACACTGCACTCACTCACTCACCGCGATCTGCTAACCAGGCCCAGCTGGCAGGGCAGGGCAGACAGATAGTCTGGCCGTGGTCCCTCCCCCCCTCCCTCAGAGTGGAGTCGCGCTCATCACATCACCCTTTTCCTTTCTCCTCCTTTTGCTCACTAACTTATCCCTTTCCCTTTCCCTATCAATGGATCCTACGTCACGATCGCTAAGCCTGACCGACCGACCGATCGACTGACTGCTGCTGCTGACCTGGCCAAAATAAGCCCCCCCCTCCTCCCTCCCTCCCACCCACCCCTTCCTTCCCTCCTTTTCGGTCCTCGGACTATGTCGTCCCTGATCGACGAAAGATTGCCAGGCACGCGGTTCATCGGAGCCTGAACCGAACCGGGCTTACAAGGAGCAAGCAAAAGAAAGAAAAAGAAATCCCCGTGTCTTGCCCATCCTGAAAGTCATCCGACATTCTTCAATTCTTGTTAAAAGAGCTACTACTGCCCAGTTTGAGGTTGAAGCAAGAAAAAATAAATCCCACTCACGGGATGACGTTGTGCACATTCCAGAGGGATCCACTTTTGAGCTCACTCTGCCGGGGACGACCCCATCGCTTTCCCTGCTGCTGCTGCTGCTGCTGCAATACGGGCACCGGGCGGAGAGCGAAGGTCAAATAACTGAGAGAGACGTGTTTCAGATACTCACTTGGAGCAGGAATTGTTGTGCTGGTCTGGAGCAATTCGCGCATCTACGCCAAGAATCGTTGACGTTGCTGACACTTAGTAAACGTGTGGTCGACTGTCGTAAGAGAGAGCTCGGAGAGGTAAATCACCCAGACAGCAAAACATTTAACCGGCACCGATATTAGACAGGAAATCTTCTCCGTGCCTGAATATGAGGCAAGCGCACACTGACTGTGAGTTCTCGAGTGGCTGCTTGTTCTTCTCTAGAGGAAATACCCTGGGACATTGTTTTCCGACCAGGATCTGCAGCTGCACAGGTGGTCCGATTGATGAGACCGACCACCTGTCTGTCGCTCCACACATAATGTCCCTACTATTGAGTGTTCTCGGGGTTTCTTGAGCTGCAAGTCGCAAATTTTGTTTGCTGTGCATTGGCCTTGACAATAACTCCGTAGCAATGATTGTCATTCGTCGGATCTGAGGCCTTGCCTCAAGCGCAAGATAAGCTTTGAATTATCGGCCGTATGTAGATTATTGAAGACTACTCCGTATTGTTCTCTCAAGGAAGGCCGGTTAATTAGCCCGGAAATTGGAGTTACTTGCGGCTCTTGGTGGGACCAACAGTTGTAGTTACTGTCTCCACCCGTGACAATCAGTCACGAAGTCTTCAGGATAACGTTGTATGCTCTATGATCAAAAAGCTTCTACTCAACCACTCTCTGGAAACAAACCGTACACACCCCCTGGCCTTCCCTCCCGCCGAACCGAAAGCGAGGATACTCGACTCTTCCCCAAACCACCAACTTATCCTTGACCTTTTGGTCAACATCACCATCACCATCACCAGAAGTAGAAGGGCTGGTGGTAAACCACTCCACCAACTCCTCCTCAGTCCAATTACAACTCGTCACCACTAAGAACCCGCCTGGTCTGACCAACCCGCGCGCAATGGACGGGTACCGCTCACAAACCCGTCTCTGCACCATCTTGCCCCCTTTCCTCACCTCCTCCTCCTCCTCCTTCTCCGTTCCGTGAGCAGCAAGAACATCCGCCGACAGCGACACCGCATCAAACGTCCCCTTATCCAACACGATATCGAACCCGCTGTTCTCGTAGGGAAACCACGGTAAGGACTGTTCCCCCGACGGAGAGAAAGTCGAGTCGGAGGCGGAGAGAATATCCCACTCTTCGAAGCGAATGTCCGTCGATTGGCCTTTACCTCCATCTTCCCCACCCCGCTTCTCCTCCTCCTCCTCCTCCTCCTCCGAATCAGACAAATAAGCCCGATGAATCCTTAAACTCTGCAACCGCCTTGCAAGCTCCACACTCTGCGCCGAATAATCCACGCCGACCATGTCTCCCCGGAACCCGCCGCGCCGACGCAGTAACGCCAGCATGCTCCCGTTGCCGGTGCCAAGATCGAGGATTTTCGGCGGTTGCGCTTGACTGTCCTCCGAAACAAGATTGCACGGTGCTAGAGGAAACTCCGGGTCTGTGAGAAAGTCCAGCACTTTTTCGGGGGCGTTGTGTTCGGAGAACCAGGAGGTGCCGGGGTCGGAGTCGTCGTCTACCTCGTCTTCTTCGTCTTCTTCATCGTCGGTGGTGTCAGGGGAGGAGGAGGAGGTAGCTTCGGTAGATTTGGTTCGGGGGTGAGGGTGAGGGGTATTTGTAGTGGTGGTGGTGGTGGTGGTGGTGGTCGGGGTCTGTTTGGAGGAGAGGTGGGAGAGGGTGCGGGCGTAGAAGGTTTCCCAGCTGGTTTCCTCCTGTTAGTCTTTCATTTCATTGTTCTCTGCAATGCATACTGCTTCTGGGGCAGACATAAAGGGTGGTGAAGGGGGGTTGCGACACAACAGAAACAACAAAAAGGCCGGATGGAAAATTCGGGAGGGGTAGAGGCGGGGTAGGCAAACAGGTAAGACGACTTTCCCCCCCCCCCCCATTGGGAATACCTACTAGTCCTTGGTGCCGAGTTCGCTCGGTTCGAGATAAGTTGGATGTTGGTCGGTCATCGTGACTGTCCTGGTCTTGCGGTGGTTACCAGTATGTCAATGGCCGTGTCGTTGTGACTGGTGAAAGGTCAAACACAAGTTGAGTCGGTCGGAGCGCCCTAAACTTCTGGAGTCTTTCCGGATCCACTCACTCACCTTGAACCGCAGTAGGTACAACTACAACTACAACAACTACTACTACTACTACCACTACCACCACCCCCGACGTCTGCTTTTACATCTCCTTACTACCCAGATATTCTCACTACTGCAGTCACATTTCACCATTAAGCCTAGCAAGCCTAGAAACAAGGGTATCCGTGACAAAATGCCACTACCAACACGAAAAAGGAATGGAATAGTATTACAAGTTATCAGGCACGATTCCTCGCCGCCCTTGATCTTTTATAACACCACGACGCCGCTGACCAGGAGCATGCTCAATGTCGACCCACGATCGGGTATGCAAAGGTGGACCCCAGCACAAAATAAAAAAACGAATGGAATAACGACCGTAAAGCCCGCTTTGGTCATCGATTCATCAATTAGAAGATGAAAGAGGTAAGGAAAGTGCACAAAGTGCTGAAAAAGAAGAGAGTGTGGATGCCGCAATGGCGCGATGGGGATAAGAAAGAATGTTAACCTGACGGTCGGGTCAGAGTGAAATGGTTGAAGTCATGGAATCATTTCGCGGACTGATGCCCAATGGCCAGTCCTCGATCGAAGACGTTATGGCTGAATCACAGAAATTCATCAATATTTCTCATAATCAACCGCTCATTCCCAGGCGGCGGAGACCGCGGATCCGCTATCCGTGACCGGAACCGCAGTCCGTTGAGGCCATCATCCTCCAAGACATCGGAAACAGATCGCGAAATAGGCGCGGCCATGAAGTCCGTCGTCCGCGGTGAGAAGAGGGCGTTGGATTCCTCGGACTCTTCCCGCACAAACATGTCGGTCTTAGCCAACGAGTACGGTCCGGCCTCGGAGTGCCATGGCAGTGATGCAGGCTTAGCTGCCGGGGAATCGCTAGCCAATCCGGTGTGGAAGCTCTGACGTAACGGCAACGGCCGGGGTGATATGCTTCGTTTGTGTGAGAGTGACTTGGTGGTAAACCCAAGGCTTTCAATAGAGACAGGAGTCGTCTGGTTGGTGGAAGGCACCGACAAAGAGCTCAGCGACGCTTGCGACAAGGCGTTGGACGAACAGCGGTCCGCATCAGAGCACACGCTTGCATTTCCAGGTATACAGGTCTCGACCGATCCTCGCTGATCGGCCCGCGAGCGCCGCTGCTCAGCGTCCTTTGGTGCACTTTCGCCGAACCACTCTTCTGGAGCGGCCTTAGACAGACCCCCGCGGAGTAGGCGGGAGCGGAAATCTGTCAGTTGGTAGATTAGGCTCATGTTTGGGCCAACCCAGCGACTGCGCTCCTTGACAATCTCATACATCGAGTTGAAGTCCAAGTCTCGGTTTTTGAAAAGACCATATGCAATGACCAACGAAGCGGATCGGCTGGCGCCCAGCTGGCAATGTACGAGAACTTTCTTTCCGTCCGCAATGCGGGAGTCAATCAACTCGCACAAAGGGTATAGGTCCTCGAGGATCTCCGAGTTGTGATCCCAGCCGACGTGTACATATTCCGGTCCAGATGGTCCATTTTTAGGAGTCACCGGCGTCGACGCCTCGCTTGGAGGATATTCAAAGGCGGACTTGAATGAGGTCTCCGAGGCAGCGGTCCAGGGTTCTGCGATAGATAGGCGCTTGGGACTGACTGACCCATTGCGCAATGCGCTCACCACGGTTTCAGTGTTGGTGCTGGCTTTAGTGAACGGGTTGGCGACTTCCTTGGCCACGTTTACAACAACATCGAACTGGGACGCTTCTTGCGCGGTTGGTTCCAAATAGAGATAAACGCCGGAATCGTAGATTTGAATGGGGCCATTCGGGTATCCACGTTCGCTGCGCCGTGTTGACTCTCTGGAATCCAGATGGTCGTCCTCCTCTTCCAGTTCAGGCAACACGCCACCTGAAGCAGAATCCTCGTCTTCCACCGCCTGCAAGGGTGGCAAATTGCTCTCTGAAGTGGCTGAAGGTCTTCGGGCGCCATGATGGGTCATGGGTCGAGGTAGCTGCATGCCGCCCTTTGGCCCGAAGGACGGAGAGAAAACAGAGGTCAGAGATGGCGACGATTCAGTGTGGCGCAATGAATGCGGGGTTGGTGGGACAAGCTCGGCGATGTTGTTCGAGAATGACCTATCGAACCCAGGCGTGCGGATGGTCAAGTTCGCAGGTTTACGGCGCATGCCCTTCAGAGGCACATGCACGGGAGAGGGGGGAGCGGAAAGATGATGCGAGTTTCCTTCGACCATAGATGCCGTTGCGATGGGTGGGCGCGACTGAGAAGGGGGAGGCATTCTAAGTGAGAGATTCTTGAGGTTTCGCGCCCGCCGGCCCGGGGAATCAGGCCGTGGAGGGCTGGCACCATCTGACGGCGGCTGGTAAAGGCTGTTAGTCGAAGAAGCCTGGTTCTCAAAGTTTCGCGCTGGGGGCATGGTGAATTTGCTGTTGAATGCCAATGGCATGGATGATGGAGATTCAGGGGAGGAACTCGGAGATGTATCCGCCACAGATGGCGAGTCGAAGGTTGATATGGTAGTCGTGGGTGAGGAGTCGGTGGAACCTGATGTCACGGAGGAAATGCTGGCACGGTGTTGGAAAGGAAAAGCACGGCGCGTTGAGGTATTGATAGTGACATTGGTGGGTAGACGGAGTGATTTGAGTGAGGTTGCGCTTCGCTCCTCCTTCTCGGGGAAATCGAGCGTCCGCCCGCCAAACACTGACATGAAGGAGGGAAACGAGTCCGGGAGTGTTGGGGCGCTGGTCTGCACCGGCATGGTTGAGTCTGAGGTTGATAAGATACACCTACGTTTGAAAGGGATCGTTGCCCTTTCCAAATCGCAGTGACAGTGAAGAGTGGGCGCAAACACCGGAGCACAGTTGCTATGACCAGCTCCAGAAAAACAAGGTAGAGTCGCACTTGCTACCAGCGCAAATGACCTTTTGTTTAGACAATCAGCTTCCATGTTTCAGGGAATATTGTTGGTTTTCGGCAGTAGAAGCAAGCACAGCTGCAAGGAGAGTGAAACCGGTTCGAGGATCGACCAGCTTCACGAAATGAAAACAACAGAGCTAGTAAAGTCTGTAGATAGGTGCAAGCAATAAGAGGAGAGAACAGGATCACATATGCAAGCAGAAGCACAGGTTCGCAGATGAGGTCCTAAAGTAGAGTCCGAGATCAGGCACATACCAAGGAATGCTGCAAGAGAAGGATATCCTCTTGAGATCAGTCAGTAAAAGTCGAGGTGAAGGATTGTTGATGAAAAGATCTCAGATCAAAGCAGCGATGAGAACATGGAAATCGAATGAAGGAGAGTAAAAGAGGGAAAATGAAAAGAACAAAAAAAAAGGTTAGATATAGGAATTCATGAAAGAGACTCGAGAGAATAGAGGGAATTGAGTATGCGACGACTGGAGGGAGGATTGCCGCCCGGGGAGAATAACAAAGTGGGCAGTCGTTCCGCCGGGGAATGACGACAGAAAACGTGGGTGGGATGGCTCTCAGTCGCAAACGACTGCCCACCACCACTCAAAGGAACGGCACGGACAATCGCAATGCTAGACAGACGCCAAATGGTCCCTGCGTCAAGGGCAGAGAGACTGTTCTGGGAAGTGGGAGAAGGGAAGGGGAAGGGAGGGGATGAGGGGCGGTTCTTCAACGAGGAAGAGAGGGGAAAAGTAGAGTAGAAAGAAAAGAAAGGGAGGAAGAGGAAGTAAGTAAGTAGTAAGAAGAGGAGATACGGAAGGCGAAGGGAGGAAGAAGGAAAAAATGAGTGCGAGAAGAAGTGATGCGAGAGACAGCAACAGAGAGCTGTGTAAGAAACAAGCCTCTGGGCTCGATGTACTCCGACCGTCTCAGCAAGACTCGCCGGGTTGGCACAGAACAGACTTCAAAAAAAAAATCAAATAAAATCACATAAAAAAAAGGACTAAGAATAGCGATTCATTTAGGAAAAGGGCAAAAGATGAGATGAGTTTGAGAGGGAGAGCGAGTGAGAGCAAGTGGAGATCCAACCGGCCGTGTGTTGCTGACAGCACGCCAATCACTGGCAATGACGAGAAAGTGGATAAGATGTTCTGCGTTCTTCCTGAGCTTCCCATGGGCTGCAGCTCTAAATTTAGCCGCCCGGGATGGTTCTGTCTCGGTGGAATGTGCATATCATGGGCGCCAACTTCAGGTGTCTCTTTTCCCCTCTCTGTCCCTCTGTCTCTGTCTCTCTCTCTCAACAACAACCATATCTCCCAATCGTGGGCATGACTGGCCCCCAAATTTCGGGTCTAGGCCCTGAGAAGAGGAGCAAGGAAATAATAATAAAAAAAAAGAGAGTCCGAGTCTCATCTCTTCAGCAATTCCTTCAAAACTGAAAGAGAGACCGCGAGAGAAGGAGCGAGAGAGGGAATAGATCCATAGTGTGTGGAATGCCTCAATCCCATAGTTGGTTGCAATAGTGACACTGGCATCCCAGCCCACCCAAGCCACAAAGGGGTCTGGCCCTTTTCCCTTTTGGTCATCCACTCTCTTACTCTTTCGGGTCTCCCCTTCATGATCTCTGACATGGCAGAGAGAATGCATGTGTGAAGTTTGAACACAGAAAAGGAATAAAAGAACCAACCAGACAGAAAAGTCAAATTGACATTCCCCACAAAAGGGTAGTACCCATGGACGAGGCGATTTAGGCAAATGATTGGTGGGCAGAGCAAAACATCAAAGAGAAAGCAAGAGAAAGCAAAGGGAGAGTGGATGGAGCTAATTTAGTCCACCATCCCACGGGCGAGACACAACAGAGCAGAAGAAATCATGAACCACAAACTCACATACCTATCAAGCTGCTTCCTTCTCCTGTCTCGGGAGTATAGAAGGTCTCCGTCTGGCAATCTTCGCCAGGTGCCAGATTAGGTCGGAGAACAGGTTCGAATCTATACCGGGTCCGGGCTGTGGTGGTCGTAGTAGAACAGCTATCGCTTGCACAAGTCGAACGCCAACAAGCCGAAAAAATAATGGGCGCTGAATTCGCAGACAAGAGAATGAAGACAAGCAGGTCAAGTCCAGGAAGAAAAAGAAGTTTCAAGAAGACTTCCAGAAGTCGCAAAGTGATATGTCAGTCTCCCTCAACCCACGAGGAGGGCAATAACAATAAAAGGCGCCAAATCCAAGGAGACGGTATCCCAGCACCGGTGGCACAAGATCAATTCCGTATTGGGAGAGATTGACCCGCTTCGATGGGCGTGCACGGTTCTCGCAGGAAAGTAAAAAAAAAAAGAGGAAGAAGAGTCTGATGAGTTTGCTAGGTTAGGGTGAAGAAGAGTTCTGGTCAAGCCGGCTTGAGATGAAATCCAGTTTAGTCAACTAGACCAACTGCCACGAACGGTCAATCTCCTTCATTCGAACCAAGAGGCAGACGTCGAGAGAAGAAGACAAGCAAAAAAAAAAGTGAAATAAAAGTGAAGCCGGCCGGGAGGGGGAGGCATGAATCGCTTTTTCACTACGTACAGTAGATGCGGAGGGCGATTCAGCAGGGACCTCTCTCTGGCGCCGAGGCTTGGAAAATTGGCAGCGGCTCTCTGGGCCCGTAGCAACAAAGTGAAACGCAGAGGCTGACGGACTGGGGCTAATGCTAAAACTGCTAGTCTCTCTCTGCCTGTCCGTCTCTCTCCACTTTTTACAGGATCGAGGCAAGTTTCCCCTGGAAACAGTGGGCCGTCGATTCTAGGCAGTGGAACCAGGGAGACCTACTTTGCCCGAGTCAGGGGAGTCAGGAACAGGCATGCTGGTCATTCTGGCCGTTTGAGGATTCTGGCTGGACATCTCGTCCATCTACCTCACCATAAGAAGAAACCAGAAAATGCATCATGAATAGTGCTTTGACCCCGTATGAGACAGACCCTTCGGAACTGTTTCAGCAAGGGAAGGTTGGGGGAAGTTGAGACACCAAGGCATGAAAATGGCTATGGCACACTGCAGCTGAAACAACACCCTTTGAGGGCGCGCGCTAAGCACATCCAATAACAGGCAGCAGAAATGAGGTTCGGCCGGATTTGAAACACACCAACCAATGTTAAGCCACTAGTTCCATCGCCTATCACGTGTGCCACATTGCCTGTCACAGACTTTGAGGGGGGAGAATAGGAGGGGAAAGAAAACAAGAAAAGATTGTGTCGTCTCGATCGGCTATACCTGGGGATGATTGGCGCTCAGGTCACGGGCCGCCTGGTCGGGTATGCTAGAGATATATCTACACCTACTCAACTATACTTAGTCCTATACTGCTGTAAACATTCCGAAGGTGATGATCGTTCGCCACTGTGTGCATACTAACAGAACATACGTCGGCATCAGGACTTCAGTTCCATCACTGCCAGGTAACAACAACACTGAGACACACCGGGCGTTGCCGAATACGTCACAGATGTACAAGACACAATTGGCAGAAGAACTATGGTATGACAACACCACGGGAGACCAGTTTTCGTTACTCCGTACAATGTCGCATCCAAGATCTCCGTTGACGCGATTGACTCCTACTTATCAGGTTGTTTCGTTGGTCTACTCCGGGATTGATATGCGTTGCTGCACTGCGTCAGCTTTATCATCCCGCCGCAAATCCTCCCTGACCGCATTCGTCTGTCCTTCCCCCCGGTGAAAATTCTGGTGCTGACTCCTAACATCGCTCGATTTCATTTCTTCCAATATACCGTGCCTGGGTCGACGTTACGGATTGAGAGATGTTTGATGAAACTCGACCCTCCTCTGCGCCCGATTCCACGTGGCAAAAAAACGTCTATCTGAGACTGCTCCGTATGGGGCCAGGAAAAAATGCCATGGCTCCCAAAAGAGAGAGCCCCTTCAACTTGGACCGCCCGTTCGGCTTCACATCGGTGATTAATGTGGGGAGGCATTTCGTTGATCGCGGGTTGCTGAGCCCGGTCATGGTGGCTCTGACTCTGTCCTAAGAAGGCTGCTTCCGAGGTCAGCCATCAACTTGCTCAAGTAATAGGTCTGATTTCCAATCAATTGCCTTTTTTTCTTTTCCTTGAAAAAAAAAATATTTTATGTTTTATGCCACTCCCCAGCGTTGAGGGTGGGCAGTGCTTCATGATGCCGACGTTCCGCTAACTACGGAGGACTACCTACTAATGTGTAGCCGGGACGTCCTGGTGCCTGAACCCTAAGGAGCTATGACTCGCTAAAGTTTCGAAACGCTCCCGTCATCTGATTGCGAATGTTCTCTAACATGTTGGCCTCCAAATCCCCCACAGACCAATGGGTGCAATCCTGCTCAACTCAAATGTTGGACCAAACGTTGCCATTTGGCGTACAAAATCATCCCGTCTCCTGCGAGCAGGAATCACGTATCTGAGGGAGGGCTGAGCACTGTCGCAGTCTCAGAAGTAGCCTAGCAACCAAGCAACCAAGCAACCAAATTTGCAAGGGTGATGCGAGTCCTCATCTGCTATGGACAGTGGTACGAACAGCGGTACGCGACGCGAGAATTAAGCAAAGTCTCCCGCTGCCATCAGCACCTCTTCCACATACTATTGTCGCTAGCGCCGGTCCGAGATTTGACGGCTTGGGTGATGGCGCCTCAATCGAGCTTCCCCGATTTTGGATCGGATTCGAGCCCTTTACGACCTTTTAGACGAAACACCCGAGCATCAATAGCCCGGAGACTAGCTCTTCAAGTCTGTGCTGGGAACCCGTTGGCCGATATGAAGTAGTGGGGAGCTGTCTTGGACATCGATAATTGCACAGATTACTTGGATGCCTCGGTCGGGAGCCTGAGCCCTGGACTCGAATCGGCTGGGAGACACAAAGGATCCTCCAAGCTATGCAATGGTCTCCTGATGCTGAATCAAGGACCCTGGAATGTCTATTAGGTCAGGGTATGGCCGAGACAACCGTCAGCAGCTAGCTGCCTCTCATCGAGAAATCGGACGTGGGTTTCCCACTGCGGCGTAGGTTACGCACGTACGTACTGTAGGGATCTGTACCCCGTGACAGCATCTTATCTCTGATTTTCAGTCTCACAATGAGTCAACTTGCATAATTGGAGGAAGTAGTCAATGGAGATGACAAGGGTATCGAACCTGGTCACCTACTGCCTTTGTATGCCTGCAATCTGTTGGCCTTCGAAACACATTAGACCAAGTACCTGCAGCTGCGGATTCTCACTTTGCTGCTAATAATCAAGCAAAGCTGCGAGTGACAGCTTCCCGCTGAATTTCGCCTACCACCCAGGGAGGTTTCTTTGTTGCAATTCTTCTACAGGGTGTATATCTTGCCAGTTGGATGGGGCTGACGCTGTCCGAACCAGGGTTTCCGTCTCTGAGTATCCATGGTTCTGTCCGCCTCTTGGACGTTGCTAGAGAAACTCGAATTGAATTTGATAAGCTGTACTGTACACAATGATGGTTGGTGTCTGCAGAAACTGCTTCACGAATTCCTCTTTTTCTTTGTCTCTAGGGTGACTGTTGTGAAGATGAGCATTGCTGATGAGCCAAGGCAGGTGAAACAGTAAGACTCGTTTCTTCCCGCTTGGTCGGCACGGCTGAATGATATCACCAACTGTCCTCGACTTCAGTCAGATTGCAGTCGCTCATGATATCTTGCTACATCTACTTTGGACCATGATACCTGAGTAAGTAATTGTCCGATCCATTGGAGGGGAAACGACAGACTGGATCCAGCCAGCCAACCATTTACTTGGATTTGACTTGTATCCCAAGCAGCAGTGAACTGCTGCCAGCCACCACTTCCACATCCCACATCCACGCACAGAGCGAACCCGTCCTTCATTTCCCTTTCGTTCCCTGGCCCTCTCCAAGCCCCATCCATTCCTCGTGGTGTATGGTCTATTTATTTCTTCTCGGCTGCTCTTGCGTTCGGTTCCCCTTGAGCCGCAGGACTAGTCGATTAGTTTATTATTAGTAGTAGTAGTAGTAGTAGTAGTTGTAGTAGTTGCAGACGAGGAGATCGAAGTTGTAGCAGACTTTTCTCTTCTGATCATCATTCGATCCACCATAACCGATAAATCAGATTCGTATTTTGGTCACCCTCTGCCAGTGTGGTTTTAATTTTTTTCCCCCTTCGCCTGTTGCCCCTGCTTTGGGTTAGAGAAGCCTTTGATCTTCGCATCTCAACATCCCCAGTCTCTTGATCAGCAGATCAATTTGATTGATCAACGAGATGCGTGTGGATGCCTGACCGCTGCAGATGTCCCCAGACGCATCCATGGCTGCTGGCAATGCAGCCTCTCCTCTCCTCTCCTCCTCTTCTTCTTCTTCGTCATTCCCAGCAAACCAGCAGTCCTTTAATCCTCGTCGACGGCGAAAGACCGAATCCGCGCTTCCTCAGGTTCATTTCGAAGTCCCGCTCCCCGACACGCATGAATCTCTCTGTCGCCGTTCCATTGTCAATCGTGCCAGGACCACCACCTTCAGTGCCGGAATACGTCCACGTCAGAGCGAAGGCCCGCCCTCGTCGACCGCGAAATCAGGAATGCGCCCGACAGGCGTGTCGATGATGGCAGCGGAAAGCCAGCGTGAGGCGGCAAGACCAACCGCGCTAAGGACAGCGACTGCTCCCGCCGGCACCACCTGCGACAACAACAACAACCACCACCACCTCCTCTGGTCTTCAACAACAAAAACAACCACCACATCTTCACCCTCGTCTCTCGTCTCCCCTACTTCTTCCTCTTACTCCTCATCCTCCGCCGCTTTTGCTGCTGCTTCTCAAGCATCTTCTCCCTCTGCTGTTCCCCGTCCTCCCCAGAGCCGCTTTAGTTTCGAGTACAAGTATCCCCTGCGCAAGAGAGCCCTGACATCGTCGCACACCAACGCCGCCACCGCTTCCATCCAGAACGGCGACGACACGCATCGGGGCCCAGACCCAACTCCCACCCGCCAACAACGCACCATCCTGTATGACAGACCTCGGCGGTCAGTCCCCAACTTTCAATTGTCTCCCGTCCGCAATTCAGCGGGGTCTGGTTGCCAATCCCCTTCACCTCGACTGGCCGTAGAAAACGACCTCGATTTCGCGCCACCTCTTGACGTCGCCTCGACCACCCGCGTGACGAATCCAAATGCAACCAAGCGTCAGAAGTCATCTCTCTATGATCAGAAGACGGTTCCAGACGTGAATAAGAATATGTCCGCCTCCTCGGTGGTTTATGCTCAGGGGCGAACGCCGGTTGACGAGCGCAGTTGCGGCCTCGACGGACTCGATCGGTACAGTCAGTCAGGAGATGGCAGCAAAACCCCGGTGCCCGATGATACCCGTACCAAAAACGAGGATATCTTCCTAAACATCGCGAGATCGGATTCCGGTCGTCGCGACTCGTTCGGAAGATCAGAGTTTCGACGGGTGAGTCTATAAGCTCTGGGCTTGTTGCTGTGCTTTGCGTTAGCGATTTGGAGAACTGGGAGAACTAATTTTTGTCTGATTCCGGCACCTACAGTCGCGTTTTAGGATGTCTGGCAGTGGACTTCGTTCATCGACCTCTCGTATTTCGGAACAGTTGCCTGCCTCCGATCAGATTCGTTTGAAAACATACGACAGCCCCTTGCATTCGCAACAAGAACCTCCGTCCACCCCCCACACGGCCGCTTTATACTCTTACTCAGCTTCCGCCCATCCACTGGATCAGCATTCCCGCCCTTCCAGCTCGGTCTACGTCCCCAGCTCTAGGTCTGCAATTGGTCTACCACGGAGTCGCCTGGGTCGGTCCAGTCCCGAGTCCTTACCCTACAGTGCCGATGCCTTCCCTGAGAGACGCGGGTCACTGCACGAGTCCCGAGCCTATCGTCAATCTACCTTATCCACCATTCGAAGCGGTCGACAGCCTTCCAACTCAGACCTCACCGAACGCGCTCGATTCGAGGTCGAGCGGTCCCGTCAGGATGGAACAGAATCTACCCTGTCCACGACTGCGCCTTCCACGGTTTGGGATGAGCTTGAAGACCTGAAATCTCGGATCAAGAAGTTAGAACTGACGGGGAAGCTCCCCCCCTCGTCGCAGGAAGCGATCTCTTCCGCCTCTGGCGAACGGCCACCAACGGCCACAACGACCATGACTACGGTGTCGTCTTCACCCAGGCGTCCCCACAAGGCAAACACTTTCTCAGGTGAGCTCGAGGCGTCTGCGGCTCCCAACCCGGTGCATCCGCTCCTGCAGTCGGCTCTAGTCAATGCCAGGGACGTGCTCAGCAATGAAGTTTACGCTGCTTTGGAGGTTACCGCGACCGACGCGCTGGCGCTGTCAACTTTGCTTGGAGCCAGCAAGGCCCCATCTGGTAATGTATCTGTAGTCAATGGGTATAGCACATCCGATAGGCAGGCTAAGCGGAAAGCCGACAGCGTTTGCCGTAGTCTAACAGAACTATGCCTCGCCTTGTCGGACGAGCAACACCGGAAACAGTCGGCATTGGCATTGAATGGCAGAGCCGAGGAGAAGGAAGTGACTGCAAACGACGATGACACGTTAACCCCGACGCTGTCTTTCCGTCGAAGCACGACGTTGGATTCCGATGGGATAGTCCGACGAACGAGCACTAAGCGGTTGACCAGTCGTTTAGAGGCTCGTCGGTCAAGCGTCGTAACTGCCAATGCTTCTCCCGAGTCTCAGCACGGTGACCAAAGCGATGCGCCAGGCTCTGAAGCCAAGTTGACCCAATCGCCCAGCTCACCGGCCGGCACTCGGTTGAGTCGACTGTCTACATCGTTACGGACCAAGCGACACCGCACGGATGATGAGTCTGCTGCTGATCAGGGCCCGCAAATCTCGCCGTCGAGAAGTATCGCGAATCTCAGCAGCGCAGCAAACAACTATCGCGTATCTCCCCGCCAACGCATGTCCCATGGATATACTGCATCTCAGTCAGTGGTCACCTCGACACCGGATCGCAATCCTCGATTCCCGGCCCAACCTCAAGCGTCACATTTGCCTCAGCCTCGGACCCCAACTCTCTCACAATCTGCGATTCCTCTGCGCCGGACATTGATGACCCCCGGGTACACTCCTGCCACTGCGCGCTCGAACATCCAAGCTGGAATCCGGCGCTACAACACAACTGCTGGGCTCAGTTCTGCCACTAACCGAAGCGATGGTTCCACAGACGATGGCATCGCATCCCCTCGACCAGAATCGTCTCAGACTCGAATCATCGCACCGTCAAGCAAACAAGCTTCCAGTTACACTCCAATTAGCCAAAACAGACTACGAACAAATAGTCTAGGCGCCCGGAAATTCGTACTCCGACCGCGGTCACTCGCCGTCTCGGATGACGCTGCGAATGCCTTCCAAGACAGGGTTAATTGAACCCACTCACGCCATGTTTCGCTACATTTTCTCGTATGAGAAGTTAATGTCCTTTACGCAATTCGCACCACCGCCTTTATACCTACACAATATCACGCAGCGCCTCATTCTTGGTGTAAGGATTGGTTTCAATTCAGCCGGCGTCCTCGTATGATTTGAATTATTTTCCACCCCACCCGCATTCGCCCTTGAGCGTTCTTAGAGACGTCTGTACGAAGTACTATCCACCTGCAATTCTTGACACAGTAACGAGAACCTTTCATCTCCGGATCTGGGCTCATCATAACTGCCAACTTCCATTTCTTTCTACACTCTGCAACATGCCTACATTGGCACCTTGAGATCCACATATGCATATCACGAATTCACTTTCACTGTTATCTCTGAGCGAATTCTTTCCCCGCGTCTGATCTCTCGTTTCTGCTGCCTTCTTTCCCTTTCTCTTCCTTATGATGTCCTTATGACCTCGGTCCTCCCGTCCTGACAATAGAAGCTGGACATCTCTCCATGACCGAGCCAAAGGGCTTGATATCTCAAGTCCAGCACTCTCCTTTCTTTCAACATCACGGCAAACTATTTGCTGAATCCTTTCTTACATCTTCTAACCCATTTATTAACAATCGCGCAAATAAATCTTTGCATGACATGATGTGCAGATGTAACCACTGTACAGTGTACTGTACCTGAACCCCTGATTCAAGCATGTCATCCTGTTTTTTCCTTTTCTTTTTTTTTCTTTTTTTTTTTTTTTTTTTTGTGGCCATTTGATACATGTACAGAATCTCAGGGTCCTTAGCTATGTGTGTATTGTGTACATGTGAATGAATGAATATATGACACAGACAAGGATTACGGTAGAACAAAGGAAGAACAAAGCGCCACGACGACGTGTTCTGGACTTGATTAGGTTACTTGCTGGATTCTCCCGAGTCTGCCGCCTAGAGACTGACGTGCGGTCGGTGGGAGAGCACTGTGTTCGACATAACCTGCCTGATCCATAAGTGTCCCTCGCAGGCTCTGGTGCTATCGTTCTTTCCTATTATGAAACAACAGTAAACGCGCCTCGACTATAAAATGCTTCTAGACGGTATGGAGTAGTACAGACTACTCGGATAAAAATTACAGGCATGACCTGTTACAGCAACTAAATGACTACATAGCATGTTGATTTGCGGACGTCAGATGAGAAGGTAGATTCATATGGTCCCCCATCATAACAGAAAATTGAACTATCAAGTCCTGGTATACAGATTTGCGATCAATCCATCGAAACAACTTCAAAGCAGTAGAAGAAACAGATTACCCAGCGTTCGTCTTGCTAAAAGGACCATACATTTTGCATTGTAAGTGTCCAGTGACCAAATGCTTTATGTATCTTAATGCTCGGTGGTGATATGAGGATCGGGACGGGAATTGTAGCGAGCAGGGGCAAAGGGGAGCAAGAAGTAAGAGGCGAGCGGTGGATGACAATTTGAGAGTTGAGGTTTAGGTTTAGGTGAGCTTCATGTCAAGAATAGTGGATGGGAGAAAGATGACTTTTGCGGGAAGCAGGAAACAGCAAGGACTATTTGCTTGCGAGGGGAAGGTATTAAACATGCTTAGATCCCAGGAGCAAGGGCAAGGGAGCAGGGAGAAGCAAAGAAGGCAAGAAAGTATGGTAGAATGAATGAACATAACATCGGCTGCGGGGGATCACGTCCGTAGTAGTTCTTCCGATTTCGGTTCATTTCTTCTTTCTCCAAGTCAAAGCAATCATGGAGGATCACATAATACTGGTATCTGACAGGCATGCATGGTCCACCTTAGCGAAGTTATTGCTTCTTGTAAAACCAAGGAAGCTGCACATATGAGATTATAAGGTAACACAGATAGGGCCATATGGAAGAAAAAGAGACAGCGTCAAGAATCAAGGTGATTAGCACAAGCGAGAGGGAGACATCGCGCGATAATGTTCTCTGGAAGGAAGCGCATAAGAATTCGGGTAGTGACAATGTGGCGCGAGATTTGTGCTGAATGGTTATGTGGAGAAAAGACTTTACTCCTGGGGAAGCTGGCTGCGGCGGGTCTTCTCGGCCTCGAGGTTCTCGTACAGAAGGTAGAGAGCCTTCTCGTTGGCCTGAGCGCTGCCCATAATAGTGAACATGCGCTCGCCCGTCTCGTCATGGGGAGCCTTAGCAATAGAGATCCGAGCTCCAGAGCTTCGACGAATCTCGGTAATCTTGCTTCCGCCCCGGCCAATGATGCATCCAACCATATCGGCGGGAATGCTGATGTTCTGAGTCTGGATTTCCTCGCCATCCTCGGTGACAAGAGGGTAACCGCGGTTGCTGGTATCGGGGTTGGAACGTCTGCTGTAACTGCCGGACTGGTCGCTGAAGTCGGCACCGTTGCCGGTGCGGTTGTAAGGGCGGCTGCTGTACCCATTGCCGGTGCTCTGGTTGCTGACAGAGTTGCTGGTACCGCCGGCCGAAGAACGAACAGCAGGATTGTACAGAATAGTGCCGGTTCCGCGTTGCCAATCGTCGATGAGGCACTTTCCGATCTCCCAGATAGCCTTTTCAATGCCCTCCGGGGTTCCCTGGACCTCAACAATACGCTCAGTGGACTGAGGAAGCATTTCCTTCTGCGCAACCATGCGCACGCCGGATGCGTCTTGAATATGCTTGATCTTGAGACCTTGACGTCCGATGATGGTGCCCATCTGGTTGTGAGAGATCAAGAGGCGGACGGCTATAGTAGTGTTAGTCATTCGCTAGACCATATATTGGAGGGGCATGCGCAATTCACTACTTACGATGGGTGCCATTGTTGGACACTACGCCACCCATGCCCATCTGCGGGGCGCCTTCAAGCAGACCCTTAGCAACCAGAGCATAGGCCCGGGCAGTGCCGTGCAAGGGACCAGTGACAGTCAGCACACGGTCATGAACACCGGGAACGACCTTGCTGACACCGGCCTTCACGCCAGTTTCGTCACGCAGGTCAGCGACATTCTTGCCTGCTTTGCCGATGATGATACCAGCTTCTTTGGAGGAGACGATAGCGCGGAGGGTCAGCGTAGACTGCGCGTATTCCTCTTCGGTCTTGGGAGTGATTTCAATGTCACCCTCATCCATCATGTCAACGGCGTCAGCCATAGTCTCATCGGCCATGGGATTCTCGTGCAAGTCGGAGGCGTCCATAATTTCAAGAAAATAGGAGGTCGAGTAAGATATCGAGAAAAGAAGTGACGTGGTTAGATACGATCTCTCAAAGGAAAAACTTTATCTATTGTGTTAGCTTCATTTTCGAGGGAGGAGCCAAGAGATGAGCATTGTTTTCGCAATGTTCCGACCGGGCAGGTGAAAGAATGGGCGAGGAAACACCGATTCTGGGCGCAGGGAAGCAGAAACAGTAAATAGTCTTACCTAAAAAGTCAAGGAGGAGAGAAGGCGATAATGCGGATAAAGTCCAGATCGAGAGAAGGGGGGTGTGGTGAGCGAAGAGGGGTGACAAGATCGAATCTGAGGGGTTTTCGGCGAGCGGGCGGGGGGCAAAGGTGGAGGAGGATGGGAGGGAGGGCGAAGGAACAAAGTGAGGAAGAGGTGGCGGGAAGAAGGGAAAAGGAAGAGGGACAGAAGAATCAAAGGGAAGGAAGAGGGAGGAAGGGAGATGGAGAGAGAGGGAGAAAAGATGGAGGGGATACGGAAGAGGAGGAGAAGAGGAGAAGTGGTGGTAGCGAGAAGGAAGAAAGGTGGGAAGAGGTAGGAGGAAGAAGAGAAGAAGAGAAGAGAAGAGAGAGAGAGAGAGGGAGAGATGGAGGAGGGAGGGAGGGAGAACTGAAGGGAGGGAGAAGTGGAAGGTGGGAGCAGCAAACGGACTGAGAAGGCGGGAAGGCGAACGAACGGCTGACTGACTGACTGGTAACTTTCTCCTACTAATTGGAGGCAAAGTGACTTTGCACCCACTCTACCACCACCACCAATCCTCTATCCTGCCTTCCAGGGATGCTTGCTCTTCCCTATGTTTGATCCATCTTTCAGTTACTGATTCCAACTACTGAATTCCCCATTATTGAGCTTCAAATTCGCTCTCAGATGACTGCTTGGTACTGGTGTGACTGCTTGATTTCGTTTTTGCTTGTACTACTCTCCGAACCTCTGATTACTACGACTACATCCCTACTGAACATTTCTCGAGGTATCGTCTGAGAGGGCCCAAATAAGTCGCCGAGTTTCTAAGCACAATGCAGAAGATCTATTTGTCGGCCTCGAAGATCACCTTCTGTACCTTCATCGCATTGAAGAGCTCATAGGCCTCAACCGCTTGCGTAAGGGGCATAATCTTGTCGGCCATGAAGCTAGGTCCTCTAGTTAGCCAAAAATCGCGGCACGATTCAAACATGAACAAATGACGCGACACGTACCCAAGGAGATGTTGGTTCTTTTTCAGAACTTGCAGAGCTTTCTCGGAGACTGAACGCACAGGGCACCGTCCCATGTGGACCGTCAGGTTCTTGCCATAAGCTTCACTGCCATTCCATGGAATCTACGCACATATACCAGTCAGCTGCATCGGGTCTGTACAAAGACCAGCCGGGTCACCTACCTCGCCATTGTGCACGCCAACACTGCTGATCGTACCAAACGGCCGCAACAAATCGTATCCGGTCTTCAATGCCGGGCTCAAGCCCACCACCTCGATGACTGCGTCTGCGCCGCGCCCGTCCGTCAGCTCTTTGACGCGCTTGTCCAGACCTTCCCGGTCCGTCTGGAAGTTCCAAGGCTCGGCTCCGAGCGACTTGGCGAGCTCGAGTCGCGTGGGGATGGAGTCCACCGCCAAAAGGTGCTTCGGCTTGTACTCGAGGGCATTGATCAGAGCGCACAGTCCGACTGGCCCGCAGCCGATGAGGACGACCGTCTGTTCTGCAATCTGCTCTGGTGTGCTAGCCTTGAAAGCATTTCGCGCCGCAAAGTAACCCGTGGGGAATATATCGGCCATGAGAACCAGGAGCTTGTCGTCGACGCCTTCGGGGTTTTTGACCACCGTGCCATCCGCATTGGGAATTCTAATCTGTTGTAACATGTTCAGCTTCCACATCGCCTGAAGATTCCGCCTTTAGCTGTGAAGGACACTCACGAATTCGGCCTGAGCGCCGTCTAGAGCATCACATCCAAGCAGAACGTTGTGTTCGCACCGCGAAGAGTAACCTTGACTGCAGTACCAGCACTTGCCGCTAATTCATCCTCAAGTATCAGCAATGAGGTCGACTTTCGGCGAACGCGCTTCGTGAGCAGCCCATCTTCACGCCTGCCAATGTCTTCCGCAACTCCTTCATGCACCAAACAAACCACTACGGACACACCACCACAAAACCAGTTCAAATCGAAGTAGAGCGCTGTACTCACCAAGATGTTGTAAAAGCACTCACAACCAAATCACCTTTCTTCACCGAGCGCACATCATCTCCAACCTCAACAACCGTCCCTGTAACCTCATGCCCCATGACCACTCCTTCTTCAGACGGCTCAATCCCGCGGTAAACATGGAGATCACTATAATGATGGAAGAAGAAAACCCGTCAGTAAAAAAGCTTTAGAACCCCATTTCACCCCTTAGAACCCCGCACATCCATCCCTCAATCCCGATCCCTACTTCCCACCTTCTCTCAACGCCAGCATTAACCTTCCACTCTGCCTCCCAAGTTCCCAAACTCAACACTCAACGTTCAGGGGGAAAACCTCACCTCCCACATAACGCCGTATAATTGACCTTAACCACGATATCCCCCTTCTCCTGGACCCGAGGCACCGGCCGCTCCTCGATGGCCACCTTATAAGGACCGCGGAACACCACCGCGCGCATCGTCTGCTGCTGCATTTCGCTGGACATTTCCCTCGGGGTGCGTTGTATTTCTTGCCGCCAATTGATCTGTACTCGGTGTTGCTGTGCGCAAAAGAGCGAAATCCGAGTGTTTCGAACCGTACTTTCTAGGTTGAACTGAGGTGCGACTGAAAAAGGATCCGACCGTTTCGAACAGTACTGCGTAGGTTGAATTGAGGTGCGACTGAAAGAATGAAGAAATGAAGAATGGAAAAGAATTCCCGGATGTCCACACCCATGAGCTCCGATGGCCGGCGCGGGGCGAGCGGCGAGTTGCCCCTCTTTCTGGCTTGTCCGTTGTCGATGATGGGCGTGGGCTTGGGGTGGGTCCCTTTTCTGCAGTGCCAGTGCCAGGAGTACTCCATACGTAAGGCGTTTTGGGGTTCCAGGTCTTTGGGTGAGGGGAGGGAGGGAGTATAACAGAAGGGGTTATGAGGGGTAGTCTAAATCATTAAGTTGGATTAACGAGCGATGGGGGCGATGATTCATTGTCCATACCGACATGTGATTTTGGGACCATGATCCTGAAGTGTGGTTGCAATTTGAGAGTGAGATTGGGTTTGAGTCGTGGTCTTTTCATCACATGTGGATGGCGCGTTTATATATGTCTGCACTTGAACGTCAATGCATATAGTCTCCCCGGGTCCTCGTTATCAAACAACCTAGTGCGGATCGGGTAGGCCAGGCATCACTCTACAAAGCAAGACCATATCTCTGCCAGTTTGTCCTTTAGCGACTCAATTTGCGACCGCTGAAAAGAGACAAGGCATTCTATCGCATCCGGACCATAAAGAGGTCAGGTAGATTAACATGGCAATAGTGGCAGCATAGCTCCACACACCCAAATTGATTGGTCATACATCGCTTTGCGTTGACAATCAAGCCAATGACTTTTCTTTTCAAGGAATTTTGTGTATATTTCTGGGGTGAATACCAACCATGAAGCCAGACAATCGTGTTTGCTCCATTAGACGCCGTAACAACGCTGAATAATAACCAAGACAGTAATAATCAATCGCTCACTGAATGAACCAGTCTTCAGCTTGAATCTGCGCAAGTACCATGATGTCCTCATGACACAGTGACCAGCGATATGCAGTTCATGGAGGCCATGTGTGCATGTGACTGTAGTTATCGGTTCAGACTCTCCGAGGCCGAGACCTTAGCACACAACGCACAACAACTCCTCCTCTAAAATGAACTTTCCCTCCTTGTATTTCTCGCTCGCCTCGTAGGCCTTGTCATATTTCCAACCAACAGTCTCCTTGCACTGCCGGCAGGCAATATCGCGAACAATGTGCCTCCCGGTGGTCATGCTCCGCTCCACGGCTTCGGTCTGGGTAACGTTAACGACGTTGTTAAATAGGTATGCCTTGCCGTGCTGGCCCCGGAAATTCTGCAGGTGAAGAGAGATGGCATGGTCAGCCGCTGCTTTTGGATGGGGCGAACAATGTGGAGGATGGAACATGCAGCACACATACCCGACTAATAATGTCGTCATAGTCGGCCAGGTGGGTTTTGCATTGCTTACACCCGAAAATCTTGTTGGAGGTGAGATAAACGTTGTATATAAGACCCATCGTGTTCGATCCGTGACTGCCTGCCGACTGCCCCCAGCTCAATCAGGGTCTGAAAGTTTCAAAGATTTGAAAGACGAATAATCACGCCTGCAATGAACGAAGCCGCCAAGGCGAGATGGGTAAGAGAAAGAGGGAAATTCGGAGGGAGATTTGTTAGTAGATCTTGAGGCTTTAGCTTGGGTCCCAGCCCCTATGCAGATAGATAGACTTGGCTTGGAGGGTCTTATCGTGAAGAAACAAAGCTTTATTCCCAGCCGAGAAGGAGACCGATTTCTCGATTACTGTATCAGAAGATCAGGCAGAATGAACTCAGAAGGACAAGGTGTCTCAGGCGTTTCTGCAGGTGAAACGACTCTCTCGTCGTCCAGACGTCGGATGGTCTTGATGATAAGCAGCTGTGGTGGGAGGGAGACCTCGGGAGTAAGCGGAGGTACAGTACAGCCCAGACCAACGACGTGTTTTATGGTTTATGTGTGGCACCCCGCTGGTCGAAGAATCTGAGCAGATTGACGAATGAGTAGTGTGAAATGGATTCAGTAGATAGATAGATCACTTCCTTCCTGCAGGAAAGGGGAATAAATCGATGAGGGGAAAGGGAACAGAGGTGAATGAGCGGGAGGTGGAGGCAGTTACTTACAGTACATTACTAACTTCAGGCAGCTGCTCCTCCCCATCGGAGTTGAGGAGACGCCCCCGCATCGGGCAAAGTTTGGGAAGAGACCAGCCCCGTGACGCAGTGATGGATCCATCTTGTGTAAAAGCATATCTGGGACAATCCCATCCGCAAATGACAGATTTCAATATGTTGTTCTCAAGTGTCTTTGGTGCATCATCCGGGCAATGTTCCCTTACATTAGACTCCCACCTTGACACATGACCCCGCTTTGGGATTGAGCTTATCATTGTTATCGCCTCATTGCAACTGACAATATGTATTGCACTTCTAGAAATTTACAGGCAGTTTCCCAATTCAAGAACTGTTTGATGTCGAGGACAATCAGATACTATAGGTACAATATAGACAAGCCACATACGGGCATACCTGGTTTGTGTCTTGTCAAAGCTCTCCATGTCTCGTGATGTGAACCCGATAGGCATGTCCGACCTTTGAACCATTATACACTTTGCCTCTGAAGACAGATGCGTGATGTGTGCCACATGCACCTTCCCTCGTATATAGACCCAGTGACAGATTGCTGACCTTCATTGGAGCGTCTGTGCGGCCGGTGGAATTGGCCCTTTATCCAACAGTATTTCAACTTTGGTGTTCATTTATACATTCATCGTTGACCCAGCAGAGCCTTGTTATTCTCCCAGAATTGCCGGCAGTCGGTGTGACCCCAGTGTTCGGTCCACCACTCGCCAAAGCTATCCTCCACATTTTCATCGACCTTAGGCAACCGTTCATCTCGTTTCAATCCGCAGAGAGCACAAGCATGTGATGATTTATGTGCACCCCGATCGGCGCTGAGCGTCATTGCCCGAGCATTCTCCTGTATGATAGGAACCGGGCGATTTCCCGAAGCCTGAATGACCGAGTTGTAAAGCGCCGCCCTGTCACGCCACATGGTGAGCACATCTACAGCCTCTTGCTGCTCCTTGACATCCTCGTTCTTGTTGACCGCATTGAGTTTCATCCCGCCAGGCTTTCCTGCAGGGCCAATCCTCATACTTTGACTCAGGATCTTGTCTCTTTTCCAGCGCAAGGTACGGCCCGCAACTACTCGAGCCGCAGTCTTGAGCGTATTCCGAATTACCCACGCTGCACGTTCGACTTTATCGCTGTGCTGCATATCCTTCCTCGCGTCCATGGCTTCAAGTCGGAGTTGCTCAAACAATTGAGGGAACAGCTCCAACAACACTGATGGTGGTGGAATGTTGATTGGGCGAACCTGTTCTGCAGCAACGGCGGGACTGGAGGCTGTAAAGTTTGCGCTGGTATGCGCAGTACTAGTTGTAGCAGGTAGGACTTTTGGTCTGCCCGGGACAGATCTAGATTGTGTCGATGACACTGGTGCCTTTAAGTCCTGCCTTTGACTTTGATTTGTAGCTGGCCCATCCACAAAGTCACCCCACTCCTCGAAAGGGTCATCATCTTCAATAGGCAATGACGGTATTGCGGACGGCGATACTTTGTGCAACTTCTGAGTGTTGACTTTCGGCTGTGTTGCCCCGGTCGGCTTGCCGGGTGCAGACGGTTTGTCGTCAAGCGACAGTGAGTCTAGCAGATCAAAGGCCTCTTGAGCTTTCGTCGGACGTGACGCAGAAACTGAGGCCTTGATTCTTTGTTCCTCTACAGGTGCGCGTTGATTAGACACGTCTGCCGTTTCGAACTCGCCCCAGTCTTCGGTTTCATCGTATGAGGAAGTCTCAAGAGTGGCATCAAAAAGCACATCATTAACACTATACTGCTGTGCTAGCCCTGGCACAGGTGACATGCTCCAGGATGGGCTTTGCCATTGTGAGCCTGCTGCAGCGGACTGGCCTGCTTGATTTGAGAATGGTGACGAGGGCGTATCATCAAAGAAGTCCAGGTCGGGGACCAGAGAAGTTGATTGGTGTCTCGTAGGCCGCTGGCTTATAGTTTCTGAAGTCTGGTTGGGACTGATACCAGTACCAAATTCTGCGAACAAATCCGCGGACATGGGTGGCTGTTATTGGGGATTGTCCTAATATAATCACCGGATGACTCTCGGAGCGATCAAGGCGCAAGAGGTAAACACTGGCATGGAGCGCTAAACAACGACCACAAGCTTGAAGTCCACAGAGCACTCAGCGAAATGCAATCCTTCCAGGTATATTCCTTTGAGTAGAAAGATTCCGTCGCCGCCGGATTCAGCGTCTTTATACGCTATGCGATTATTGGAGTATAATATACGCACCTGGCGCAATACACAGTAGATAAGAGCGGCGTGGGCGGGAAGAGGTGATGTTGCACCCAAGGAAAATCCTCTGTGGCGGGTCCAAACCTCCGCGGCTAAGGACAATTGCCCGCTACTCCAACCGCGGACCAGTAACTCGGAGTTACCCTGTGCCTTTCGCAGCGCGTCAACCTGCAGCACTTGTGAACATCAGTCTACGAAGAGCCATATGGTGAAATGAGGGGCATTGAGGAGACAAGGTACGATGATGTTGATAATGATGAAACCGCTTCAGTCAAGGAGATTCCCCGCTCATGAATGGTTAGGCAGCGATGGAACACCCTGTTTTGCGACAATGACAACACCGCCAGCTTCCGGAACGCCCTCAGATTGGAGCAGGACGACAAACTGTGCAACGATGGACTGAGATCGATCTGTTGGAAGGCATGCGCTTGCTGCTACTATAGTATGGTTTTTGTCGCTTACCTTGGGAGGGTGTAGGCCTTCCTGCTTTTCGACGATCTCGATCGGGCACAATGGCCGCGGAAGCTGTCCGACTCACGAAGCGCCTACGTCGCCCTCAAGGCCCATTTCCTGAAATACATCGAGCACCCGGACGACTTGGAATCGACTGTTGATCCGCTGGCGGATGATGTTGAGGTATTTCTTAAGTCTCTTGTTGCAACTTGTGTGAGTGTATCTAACCGCGTGTTTACTTCATAGTCTCCATGGCAAACCCTACGCAACGACGAGCAGACAAGAGCAGATATATCTCAGGATGTGGACAGGTGCTTGCAAGAGAACTTCTTCTTCCGGGAGCCCGCCACCAAGTCTAAGATGATCGATATACTATTCATCTATGCGAAACTTAACCCAGACCTCGGCTATCGACAAGGCATGCATGAGGTATTGGCACCTCTCTTGTGGGTGGTGGACAGGGATGCGATCGAGACACACCCTTTGAAAGAGTCCGGGGAAGCCGAGGCGAGCGATGACGCGATGCTTCAGCTTCTCGATGCCAGTTACGTTGAGCATGACTCGTTTGCGCTGTTCTGCTCCGTCATGCAGAATGTCCGAGTGTACTATGAGCACAACCGGACCCGATCGTCCAATGGGCAGATGGATGTCATTCCAATTGTACATCAGTGTGAGCGACTTCATAATGAACTCTTGGTCACAGCAGATCTCGAATTAGCGGATCACTTGCAGACGCTTGAGATATTGCCCCAGATTTTTCTTACGTAAGTCATACATCAGCCCGGGACATTGGAGAGCGTGAAGCTGACTATGCGTAGTCGTTGGATGCGTCTTCTGTTTGGGCGGGAATTTGTTTTCCAAGATGTGCTCCAAATTTGGGATCTACTCTTCGCTGAAGGGCTGCGTGCAGAGCTGATTGACTATGTTTGCGTTGCAATGCTGTTGCGGATTCGTTGGCAATGTGAGATCCCCCTTCCCGCCTCGCAACAAAGATCATATTGCGTCTTATCAACGAGATGTGGAGGATTCAGCGGCTTCATGCTAACACATGCCAGTACTGAGTGCTGATTCGTCAAGCGCTCTGAGCATCCTGCTTCGTTACCCTTCTCCCGAACCTCATTCACCAGTGACTTTCGTCTACGATGGGATATATCTGGAGCAGAACCCCACACCAGAGAGAGGCCTATTCATCATCTCAAAATATTCCGGGAGACCACCGGACCTGTCGAGAGGACTTGGACAGCCAAGTGTCAAACCCTCCAAGGGGAAGTTTCGCCTACGAAGAGCCTCCAGGGACTTAAGTGAGGTCAGCTCTCCTTCGAGGTCACCCGCAAGGAATAGCCCGAAAAGCCTCGAAGCGCTGTTTCAGGATGTATCGGAGGGTATACAGCGCCGAACAGAGGCTTGGGGAGTCGCCAAGGCCGTTCGAGGGGCAGTGAGCGAAGCGAAGCGCAATATGCAGTCCGTCCAGTCGGAGCATTATGCTCGCGGTGCACGATACGAGAATCAAACCCAGGGATTGAACCCTCCCTGGGATCGGTCTTCCGAGGATACAACTAAGTTGAAAGCGAAAGTCGAACAATTAGAGGGGCGGAATAAGGAGCTCGCCAAAATGCTAGATCATGCACTCAAGGACATTCGCATCCATATGAACAAGGCTGAGAAAGTGGACGATGGTGATATGGACGCCTTGAAGCAGGCTCTCGACAGGGTACAAAGTATTCAAAGCTGCCTTGAAGATCACAGCATGCCTTTAAGCGGCGCAGATCAATCCCCGAGCGAGAATAGTCATGCCGATTCCGAGACACCCCCTGAAGCTTCTGGAGCTACCAGTGACAGCGCGAAAATTGCAAACGATGGGGCAGAACGCACCTCCACTTTTACCCACCAAACTAGCACAACTGCCGGGTCTCCCAGATCTCCCATTGGCATGGGAAACAAGGGCGACCGCAGTGCCGCCACCAGCCCACAATTTCCCACTCCCATGCCCCTCCGACACGCACCTCGGCCCTCGTTGGCCGACTCTGAGTTTTCATGGATGCTCGGCGGCAAGCAGCATCTCTCGAGCTTTGTGAGCCCGGCATCTGTTCTTCCGGAGCAGACTCGGCACGGCGAAGGCCGCCCGCGCGTCAAACCAGCTTCCCTCTTCGGCAACGGGGACGAAGAGCACAACAAATCCATTCCTGAGCTTGAGTCGGACGGTCTGGCCCTACGAAGCCTTCGTGGACCCAAACCATGAATAACTATGAACGCTCGACGGCGCACGCGGCAATCTACTTCGAAGACTTTGATAGGATTGACATTCAGCATTTACTATGTAATAGCTTCTCGTTTCCTACTTTAGTGAATCAACAGAAGGGAGGATATGGGATGCTGGAATAGTACATGTTCGGAACCTTGCGTAGGCCCTACGGTTCGGACGTGTTTTGCCACGCGGGGGTAAACAAATGATCCAATGAGTACGAGTTTTTGGCTAAGAAGACAAACAAACCGGCTGGACCTGGTATTTTATAACAGGCTTAAGTATTTCTCGGTTCGTGTGATTGATGTGTATCGGTGTTCAATAGCCGGTATACTGTGTAATCGACCTCACAGTGGCTGTCCAGGTTCAACTCCTGAGGTGCCATGCCTGTGGGAAGGGATACAAGAAACTGCAAGGATATTAGAACAGCGAATGCGAGCTGGGATTGACCATGTCCAGTGACGCTGGTGGATCTGCGGTTTCTGATCTGGTGGCCCAATCAATCTCCTTTGGGGACAAAAAGGTGGTGGTGATCTTCAGTGACCACAGCGACTCTCTCTATCCATGATGGAGAAGAGGGGGATCTGATTCGGTTAGTCAGCCAAGCCTTTCCAAGCACCGTGCTGCACAATACTCTAGAGTACATGGCAACATGCCCAGTACTGTCCTTGCAAGATGGAATCGGGCTTAGGATAGACGGATGCGATGAATGGATGGCATCATGAGGAGGAGGAGGAGGAGGAGGAGGAGGAGGAGGAGGAGGAGAGGGATCGTGCAATCACAGATCGATGGGCGTCGGTCCCTTAGTGGAGGGATGCATACACTGCTCTTCTTGAGCTACAGTATTACCCACCCTCATAATTACATCACCACCACCTAGCACCACACCTGTTTCTTCTTGGTGGGCTCTATTGAAGCTCTACCATTGCCTTTCCCTTCCCTAAGCTGTATTGGCCTCAAGAGAGAGGGTGGGTGAGGGGGGCCGTCTCCGTTGAGAGGGACTGCATTAGTGTATCGGTTGAATCCATAGAGGGTCGCCATGCGCCCACGATGGAGACTCATAGTACATCCATGGAAATTAAACCAATTGTTTCGAATACTCTCACATTGTAGTAGAGGGGCGACCATGCCATATTCCAGCCCAACTTGTGCCTCATTGTTCGCCATTCACTTTCAATGACCTTGATTTTTCTTTACCTTCGGTATCGATCGCTGCACCATGCATGAGCGGGTCTGAGTTGATAGAGAAGAGAATCCGGTCCCTCGTGTTTCAAGGTCACGAAAGGATCGGACCAATAATTGGGGACGTAACTCGCAAAGCAGAAGGGCAGAGCAAAAGGTAAGGTAGAGAAGTAGTAGTAAGATAATAGCTGATGTACGGAGTAGAATGAGTAAAGATGAGAAAAGGAATTTCAAACCTCTTCTTGCCTTTTGCCGGGACGTCATTCAGCATTCCACCCTAACTATAACTATGTGTGCATGACTGCTTGAGTCGTCAACTGTCAATTACAGCTTCAGTTCTCTACCAGCAAGCAGTCTTTTGAGACTCCACTATTTCATTACCCACCTTGTCGCCTCTCTTACCTTTCTTTCGCTTTTTTGCTTATCCATCGCCTTCATCATTCATACGGAGTAGCAATAGATTCTTCTCCCGCCCTTCTCTCAATTTTCTAGTGTCCACTCACTCTCCATCAAAGTCTCTCTCGGGAGGAACCCACAATTGGGGCGCGACTATTGTCTTTCCGTCCCTTGGCTGGCTGGCTGCTGGCGGTGCTCCTTAATTCCAACACTGAGATTATTCACCTCCTGAAATCCCCAGAAGCCATTGTATGGGCTTTTACCTTCAAACCAAAAAAGGACCTACCTAGCAAATTTACCACCACCGAGACGAACCGACCGACATACTGCTGCTGCTGTTGTTGCTGCTCCCTTTAACATCACCTCTCTCCCCTCCTCCAAACAAGCACTTTACTATCCCCACCTCCCCTCTCTCCCTCTCCCTCTCCCTCTCTCTCTTCCCCTCATCCCCCCCTCCTCCTCTTTTGTTCTCTCACTCTCACTCTCACTCCCCTAAGCGTGCAACGCCTCGTTCGCAGCTGTACGGTACCTGTGACCTCACGAGGCAGCTGCCCTCTTTTCGTCCCGCCCGCAGTCCGCTGACTTTTTTTCTCTGCTCTGACCTCGTCACCTTCGTTTTGGATCTTCCCATCCGAACTCATTCTTTTGCAGCAACAACTGATCAAATTGCTGTCCTGTCTATCGCCCCATTGCATTAAAGCCGGGGACGGGAGGAGGTCCCCTGGTTATTCTGTTCGAAAATCTATTGTTCCTCGCAGTAACACGTCAAGGCTTCCAACGCACCATCCCTCCCCCCGTCTGCACGACAACCCGCGGAAGAAAAATTTCCTATCAATTCACCTCACCTCTTTCTTCCACATTCCCCC